GCAAAAATAAACAGTTTTCTGGGTTTTATGTGGTTTGAATTCACCTCCTGAGTTTGTTGTTGGGCCTAAACTACCTCCAACAATCCTCCAGATCAGACTGGATCTGATCTAAAACCCACAAATAACAACTTTCAGACGTTTAGATCCAAACGTGGGGGGATGAAGTTTAAAGAATAGTTTCTAAATGACCTGAGGAATGTTTTGAGCTTGAAGGTTTAATCCCTGGTGGCTTCATTTTAACAACAAAAACACCAAAAAAAACACCTCAAAACCAGTTTCTTGTAGATTTCTCTGATCACAAACTCGACTTCTTTTTAGTTCTGACAGCTGATCAGCAGCATTTCATTAAAAAATCTGGAAAATACATTTAAAAAAATCAAATAAAAACACACTGTGTCATACTTCAGGCTTCAAAAACTGTCAAAATGAAAATGAACTTGTCAAATAAAAAACTCACATTGCAAAAGAACAAATCACTGTTTATAAAAATGCAGATTTTTGTGTTTTTTTATGTCAAATTTAAGATTAAATTTAAGGTAAATAAATGTCAGAAAAATGGTGAAAAACGTTTTGTTTTGTCCACAAACCAAAGAAATTCATTTTACCGTCACAGAGGAGGAAAGAAACCAGAAATAATTCACATTTAAGGAGCTGGAACCAGAGGATTTAGACGTTTTTTTACCCAAGAAAAACCGCTGAAACGAACATTTTCTCAGCAGTCGGTGGAGAAGCTTTTGTCTTTCTGAGATTTTAGTTATTTCAGGTTGGAAGAGACACAACAACACTTTATTTTTATTGTTTTAGACGATTTCTGTGAACAAAAAAGTCTGAAAAATGTGGACAAATGCTGCAGTTAAGTCGAGAATCGTCCACAATCCTGAAAAACGTCCGTGAACAGTGAAGCTTTAATGGACGAGCAGGTTTCCTCTGAATGGAAACGACACGAACAAGTGAGCACGCTGGAGATGTTAGTGAAGGATTCTGATGGTTTCTATGTGGTTTGTTCCATTTCTGACTTTTAAAACATTATTTTTCTGTCCGATATCGTCCGTTCTTGTCACGAGTAATCGGTTTCACAGCCTGTGTTTGCCTCCAGCAGCTCTTCCATCCGTCCACGCTGCAGCTCCTCCACACGTCCACGTCTGAACGTTTCTGCTTCTCGTCTTGTTGGACGTTTTTTCTGCAGACTGAGCAGAATTTGAATCTTTAATCTTCCCTCGTGGTGCCGTTTAGCTTGAAGAGGCCACATGTGCACCGAGTTCTCGTCGTTGAATTCTTCTCCGAACTCGTCTGGAGCTTGTTTCTTCTTCATCCTGTCGAGTTGCTGTGGAGTCTGTTTCCATGGAGACCAGCCTCGTTGGGAGCCTGATGGAGACGTTTCTGTCAGACCCGACGCTCTGACCGGACTCCACTTGGGCCCCTTTGTGCGACTGGACACTTGAAAACACTTGAAGGTTCCTCTGGAGCCTCCAAACCTCTTGAGACGGCCGCAGCTTCTTCCCAGCGATGGAGTCTGACAGCAGCTAACTGGGCTGCAGCCGACCAGAAACTCAGGTTGGAGTTTATCAAAAAAAAAAAAAGCTCCAGAGCCTCCAGGTTATGTTGGTGTGGAAGCAGAGACAATATGCAGGGGTATGAATAATACTGGACAAGGAATTTTTAGTAGAAATATAAATAAATTAAAAACACAAAAATATTCATATTTCAATATTAGGATTATTTTTATTTTTTCCCCATGTTTTAAAAAAATGATGGTGTGATATTTAGTTTTAATGGTGTATTAGGACACATTTTAAGTTAATTTTAAACAAAATAAAATAAAATAAGATAAGAGAAATATTTTTAATTTCAGCAATATTCCACATAGTACAGAATTTAGCAAAAAATAATAATTAAACCGTTTTTAACAGCAAATTTCGCAAACAATTTACTGTTCGTTTACATATTTTCACTTATTGCTAAATTACAGATAATATCTTTTTTGTAAAAAAAAACAACAACAAAAAAACAAACAATTAATTTACTTGTTAACCATTTAAAAAATAAAAAAGTCAAAACAATGTTTAAAAAAAAATGTACAAAATTATTCATTTACAACATTACACTATTTTTTACTCGACATAAATCAGCAAAAAAAGAAAGAAAGAAAGAAAATGATATATATCGGGGATTGGAAAATGGTAAATAATTTTTGACAGTTATTTTACAGATTGTCAATCTAGTGTTAAGTTACATCTCATATAAAATCACTGGAGAAAAATAAAATGTTAGTTTACATGTAAACTTTTAAAAAATTGGCCAAACCTTAAACATAACGTCCACTTCATAGATCTGTCATGTTTAACCATAAAACTACACTATTTTAGTGCATTTAAACCAGCAAAATATATGTTTTTAACAGATATTTGCTGTTATTTGAAATAAAAAAAATTCCAATCAAGGATGGAAAATAGTAAATTATTGTATTTTGAAAGGTTTTCTCTGTTTTGTTAACTTATAGAAAATATCCAATAAAAATCACAGAAAGAAAAAAACATCAATTTTCACCCTGACTGTAAAACAACAGGCCCAACCTGTAAATAACGTCCATTTAAAGATCAGGTCTTTCTGTGACAGTAATATGACTCCATTACTGTTTACTTTATGGTTAACGTCTCCACCACGTGTCTTAGTGTCGACAAACATAATAAACCCTCTGAAGCTGCAGCTCAACCACCTGGAGCGCGTCCTGCAGTGACTTTATCTGCAGGAGTGAAACTGTTTTTGCATTCCTGGATCCAAACCTGTGATCAGTGTCTGGAGCTGAGAACGCAAAACCAGGAGCTGAGCTGCTGCTGCTGCAGGAGTCGTGGAGCTGCTGCTTGTCAGGATGATGAACGAACCGCAGATCCACCAACAGGCTTCATCCACTTTGACACATGAGGTCCTGCAGAGCGCTGTGTGTTTGTGTGTTTGTGTGATTGTGTGTTTGTGTGATTGTGTGTTTGTGTGGCAGCGTGAGCTCGATGTGCTGCTGCAGTAAAGAGCAAATTAAAGGCTGCAGCCTGATGACGGCGTGTCAGACTTACAGGGTGTTTATGTGAGTGGGTGGCTCATAAAAGTGAAGCGAGGCGGTTTGAATACGAGATAGCAGCGGTTTAGCTGCAGCAGGAACGAAGCTGCTGATGTTCTGGAAACTGTTTAACAGAAACTGAGTCCTGCTGCAGGAAGAAACACGCCGTGGAAGATCATCACCATCACAGATATAGATAATAAACAGGCCTTTATTATATCATCACATCACTTCTACCTGCTCAGGTCCAACAGCTATATTAAACAGCAGAACTTCACTCACATCATTTAAATCTTTTTCTGCTCAGATGTGTAAATTCTGGTATATATTTGTTGTCTTATTTTATTTTTTTATTGTTTATTTGATTCTATTTTATTCGTTCTACAGTTACTTTACTGTATCTTCATTTTTTATTTTCCTATTTCTATTATTCCTGCTCATTCCTCCGGCGACACCAGCAGCCAGAACCAAATTCCTTGTATGTTGTGTCCGTATTTGGCCATTAAAGCTGATTCTGATTTAACTTATTGGATTGAAATTGAATTCAGCTTCAAATCATGTGACTCAAGTTCAGTTTCACATACTTCTGCTCATGTAAAAGTTTGCAAAATGACAATAAAAGATTGATACTAAATACAATAAAAAAAAACCAAGAAACAGCATTAAAGTGTGTCAAAAATATTTAATCTGTTATTTTAACATTTAAAAACAGGCTCAATTTTGCAGAACTAAAATGTTTTGGTTTTTTTATGTGCTCATTTTTATTTATTAATTTACTTTTTTGTTTACATGTAAATGTAATGTACATAAAATAACATCCACATCAAAAATCTGTATTTTTTCAAACAGTAATTTGTTCTTTCACAATGTATGATGATGAAATTAAATTTCACTGTATTTAAATCTATTAAACATATTAACAAACATATTATTATTTTTTGCAGATATTTGATTTTTTTTTGTTTGTTTGTTTTAAGAAAACTGTATTATGAAGGATGGACAAAATAGTAAATCATTTTATTTATCGTGATTATCTAAAAATTTCCCTGTTTTGTTAAATTACCCATAATGTCTAGAAAAATCAAGTACTGATTCACACATTGGATGTAAAATAAAAAGGCCACAACAGTAAATAATGAGCGTCAGACATAAATTCCAACGTTAAAATATGTCAAAAAATGTTTTATCTTTTATATAAACAGCATCCTAAAAATATTCTATCAGTTCAACAGTTAAACTGTGTCCATCTTTGTCCTTTAACACTCCAGAAATCACAAGAATTACCTAAAAATGTAAGATATATACAGACATCACACACCGATACTTACACTGTGTAATTATCCTTCAATATGCATTTACTGTTTTGTATGTTTGACTAATTATTATCACAAAAGTTTACAGTTACATACAAGCCTGGACAGACATCCTTACACACAGTACATCCTTTATATGTTTGATATTATTATAATTCTAAATATTTCATACTTAAATTGTGAAACTATCCAGTGTAGATTCCTGTGACGTTCAACCAACACTGCCTGGAAAAAGTATTCAGTGTTGCTCTTTTTATTGCTTCTCAACATTTCAGCTTTTAAATTCTTGCCAAAAAAGCTAAATTATATTGACCATGATTTAATATTGAGAAGCAATTAAAGGACAAAACGTCTGTGAAAGGTGCTCGTCGTCTTTATTATTTTTCTTTTTTATTCCATATTTGTTTATTTTATGTCGTTTTTATTCTGCTTCATTTTAATCTATTACTTATAAAAGTCTTGTTGCTGCTGTAACGTGTCTGTTTCTCCACCAACAGATCAATAAAGTTTATTTTTTTTATCTTTACTGCGATAACAATCCTCCTACCTGTCGACCGTCGTTGAGACTTCCGGTGTTCATCTTGACCAACCGGCGTATCTTTGATCAGCGGTGAAGTCTCGCGAGGACTTCGAAGTCACGTGGATAATGGCTGGAGATCGCGGAGATTAGAAGGTACTTTTCTGCTTTTCTTTACTTTGCTGTGCATTAAATTAGCGCATTTGCGCTGCGAATTTATAAAACCCGACGACGCGTTAGCGCGGCTGGTCGCTAAAATAACCGCTTCTGGCTTTTTTTGTGGAAACTCACGTCGTTACTCTGCCGGTACAAACCGACAAACCTTCGAAATAAGAGCACAATGTTTTCCGCGCTTTTTGCCCCAACGGAAACAGTTAGCTTTAGCCGCGCTAACTCCCCGCTCTGCCCGCTCGGCTAACCGGCCAAAACACCTCCGTGGCGGCTCACACGGTTCACAGCGCGTCCGTGAATCTGCGTGAAAGCGCAAACAGCCGGCAGAAGTCATTTTAACCCGCCTGCGACACCGCGGTTAGCATTAGCCGCAGCCGGAGGCCTGCTCAGGAAGCAGGCGGGAGCTTTTATTTTCCAAAACTGCTCCTTCATCTCACCTGTCGAGGATTCAGAGAATTAAACGCGTAAAAAGGAGCGAGTTCAGATGATAACCGCTTAATTAGATGGTTAATAAGCACCACGGGCTGCCCTCATGCTAATAACTGTCTCCCACAGAGGGACCGACGAGCTCCGAGGAGGCGAAGCTGTGACTGTCCAGCAGCTCTGACACACTACTGACTGTAAGTTTTTATTTCATTATTAAATTCACACTTTCAGCAACAACTATGCAACTTGTGCTTTGAGGCTGTTTTGCATGTTATTAGAAATTCATTAAAACAGTAGCTCTGACTCTGTAGTTCAACCAGGTTAACTGGAGTAAATAATGTCAGAATAAATCAGATCCAACTTTATTGTCAGTGCACAGAGTTGAGACAGAAAAGCAGCTGGAGCATCAGAGAAGTGCAGGAAAGAAGTCAAAGTGAGTTTTATGCATTATGCACAGTGTGGACACTCCATTTATAAATATGATAGCTGTAGATAACAATATGCAATTAGATAAATGTACATATAAAGGTAGAAATGAATGTCTGTACACAGTATGAGCAATATAAACCTACTGTGAGGAATTATTTACTGTTATTTGTGTTCTGTTAATTATGTGGCACATTTAAAGCAACAGCGGTTGATTGAAGGATACTTCTCAGTATAGAAATAAGATAAACACACTTAAATATTCAGCTTATAAACCGACGATATTATAAAAAAAAATACAAATATACCCATTAAACCTCTCAGTCTTGGGTGGTTTGGGGCATTTTTACTGTTCCTGCAACGATTTTACTCACCGTGAGCTCATTTCTCACTGAAATGAAAAAGTCCTGCACCTCTATGGAAACACAAAAAACAGCAAATGTCTTTTGTGCAGTATGACACAGTTATAACAGCAAAAAAAAAAACATTAAAAAAGAGGAGGGGAGGGACATGAAAATTTAATTTCTTTGATTATTTGTTTTTACAGAAATGTTAAAAACCTGAAATCACCACATGCGACATTTTTGCCTACAGGTGTCTCTAATACTGGGGTGAAAATACAGATTCTACTTGCTGTAGATATTTTACTATTTACATCTAACAACATCCACAAACTCCAAATTCCACAGGGGGGAGGAATTTAAAGTGTTACAGCAACAAAAAAGAAAGAAAAAGAAAAGTACATTTATAAAAATAGACAATCTAACAATATCAAACTGTACGACAGTAGTGAAGTGAAACTGTAGAAAAAAAAAGGATGTTGCACAGAGCAGCTGAGGGTTATCCCAGGACACAGCGACGGACTGGAGGCGGCTGATGATAACACAGAACGCAGTGACGTGTTTCATGCAGTATGACACAGATATAATGCCATAGTTCACGATGAAAGATCGGATTTCATGGATTATTTATTTCCCAAAAAGTTTTTAAAAAATGAACAGTGCAGAATATTTAGCTGTTTATTACAGAATCTGGTTTGAACAGACTGTGTAGTTCTGGAGAATCTTTAACAGATACGTCTAGATTCAAGTGATTTTGATGAAATGTCACAGTTTTGGACTTAGATTATTGAATTGTGACGACGTCCTCAAATATTGTTTTGTCCATAACTCAAAGATGATTAATTTACTGCCATAGAGAAGGGGAAAAAATGAAAATATTCACATGATTTTTGTCTTTTTTTCCCCCATTAAGTAGTCAAACTAATTGATCGGTTTCCAAATCAGTTGTTAGTTGCTTAGTAGCCAGCAGCTACTCAACTCTGGATTTAGATTCAGTTGTTCTCATCAGCACCTGTCATCTGGCAGATTTGCGTGATGGGTGACTGTGGTTGTATTAGCAGTGTCTGTTCAGCAGCATAAATAATCAGTAAACTAAAATACAGTTTATTGTTGTTTTGAGCCACACAGGTGTTCAGCACTGGTTAGCACGCATGTATTAAGACAAACACAGCCATCAAGAAAGTGCAAAAAACATTCAGTAAATGTGTCGCAGCAGCAGTAATTAAATTCACATCGACCGCTAAAACAGAGAAAAACAAATATCTTTCATCACTTTATGTAAACTTGGACTGAGTTTGACTAATTCAGTGTTTTCTTGCCTCAGACTTGACATCTGGGTGGAGACGATCCATCAGAGAATGAGTCTGTGTTGCCTTATTTTCCTGTTATTTCTGACCAAAAATGTGTATTATGCTTGAAGAGATCACAAAACTGGTTAAGGAGAGTATGTGTTTTTTCTCAAGGCTTGTAGCTTTGGCGCTGGATAAATCTAAGTCTTTTGGACGTGCCAAAAAAAATCCCTTTATGGGTGAAACCCGGCTGACCAGTGGGTTTAACGTTGACTTTGTCTCATTTGCCAGCAGAAGCGATGGCGTACGTCACCAACCACGGGAAGCTGCTCCTGCAGCGCCTCCACGTGCAGCGGGAGATGGACTTCTTATGTGACATCACCATAATGGTGAGAGACGTGGAGTTCAGAGCTCATCGCAACATCCTGGCTGCGTTCAGCGAGTATTTCTCCTCCCAGGCCGAAAGCGCCGACGAGGTCACGACTCTGGACCCTGAGAAGGTCAACAGATACTCTCTGGAGAAGCTGCTGGAATTCATCTACACGGGACAGATGAACCTCAGCAGGTGGGTTTAATGTGGGCTGGGGTGTTGTTCTAACCGTCCCGGGCATTTTCTGTTTTTGTTATTTGCTCCCGTCACATATTTATTCACTGTGGTAAAACTTTGCATGACTTCATGAAGGAGTTGGTGTTGGAGAAACTGACTGATTCACCTTTTTAGCTCTTCAGTGTTTAGTTTTCTAATCCAACATGAGACACGATAAAACTGCAGCTCACACGTGATGCGTTCATTCCTTCTGGTTTTACAGTTAGCAGGTTTTTTTTTTTTTTAAAGATAGCCATTTCAAACCCATCAGTGGGTTTTGGGGCTCAGGTAGTGAAGAGAATCAGCATCAAGCTACATTTTTCAGTTGACTCGATGAGTGAAATGTTTTTTATTTTATGGTTTCAGCACCAGACAAGCAGCGGTGCGTCGAGCGGCTGTTTTCCTGGGAATGCCCGAGGCCACAAAGTACCTGGAGGATCTCCCTCGCTTGTCCGAGCCCGGCGAAACGTCCGGGCTCAAAGATGACAAAGAAGCCGGCCTCTCTACTCCCAGTCCGGCTTCTCCCAGCAGCCCCAGCTCCCCTCTTCCCCTGTCCATCGTCTCCATCGCGGGGGACTGGCAAGAGAGCAAGAGGGAAGGCAAAGAGCAAGACAGCAAGGCCAGAGAAGCAGGCGGAGACGATGAAGGCAGGAGCGATGACGAGTACAGCCCCACGACGCCGAAGAGCGCCGGGCGAGGACACGCCAAGAAGCGAGGCAGGCCCAGGATCTTCAAAGGGGAGGACGGAGAACCGAGCAGCTCCACGGACGCCACACCCAAAGTCCAGAGCTACAGGGGGAGGGGGAGGCGAAGGGGGAGGCCGAGAGGGAGCGGCAGGGGGAGAGGCAGAGGGACGTCCAGGGGGAGAGGAAGAGGAGTCAGCAGGAGCGAAAACCTCTCTGTGGATGAGTCGGATACGAGTGTGAAGGACTTCGGCGACAACTCGGCAGACTGGAGCCCATCGCAGGACGACGACTCTCCGACCAGGAAGGCTCAGCTGAGCGCCGGAGAGGGCAGGAGAGGACGAGGACGGGGGAAGGCGAGAGGCAGGGGGAGGGGAAGGGGAGACAGCAGAAGTGATGATCTGTCCGTGGACGAGTCGGACACGAGCGTGAAGGACTTTGGCGACAACTCTGCCGACTGGAGCCCCTCGAACGACGACAAGTCTCTGATCAAGAAACCCCGGCTGAGCTTCGGAGAGGCAAGGAGGGGCCGGGGCCGGGGGAAGGGCAAGGGGAGAGGCAGAGGGAGGGGCAGGAGGAGGGCCGAGGAGGACGAGGACGAGGACATGGAGGAGGGCGAGGGAGAGGGCGAGGGCGAGGAGGGCGAGGCCGGGGAGGAGTCAGAGCTGGGCGAGCTGTCGCTGTTCTGCACCGAGTGCAACAAGCAGTTTAAGGACGTGAGCAGCCTGCGGCGGCACGAGAAGATCCACAAAGGCCTGAAGCCGTTCTCCTGCATCTTCTGCTCCAAAACCTTCAGACAGGCGACGCAGCTGAAGACGCACCTGCGCATCCACACAGGTGAGCTCAGTCAGGAATATAGATCACCGGCAGCACGAGGAGTCGGCCGCCGAGGTTTCCTCAGAACTGATGGAGAGAACCATCGTTAGTGATCAAAACGATCGATAACCAATTTCTGGAGTCGATATTTATTTAGCGTAACAGCAAACGATTGCAGGGTCATACCTCAGTTATAATACCTGAATATGTACAATAACAATTAAAGTGAAGGCGTCAGAGCATCTAGGAAGTTCTAGTCCGCTCACTTGGAGATCGATCATTGAAATTGATTAGTTTTTGATTGATAACTGCTCTTCACTGTTCTACCACGTTCATCACTCACTCAGACCCACATCTAATGACTTATTTCTTATTGTTTACCAGACTCTGTTTCAAGCTAACCCGTGGCTGCCTCCTAACTTAACTGCTAGCCATTAGCATAGCATTAGCCACTGTGAGAGAAGCTCATTTTGCTGCCGTTGGTCTTTGTTGCAGGCGAGAAGCCGTTTGGTTGCTCCGAGTGCGACAAGTGTTTTGCTCAGAAGTGCCAGCTGGTCGCTCACCGCCGAATGTATCACGGAGAGGAGAAGCCGTACGCCTGCGACCGCTGCGGCTTCAAGTTCGCTACCTCGTCCAACTACAAAATACACCTCAGGTAGGCGGTTTACTCCATCCAGGAGGTCGTCACGGTGTCCTACTGACTGCAGATGCTCACTGTTTGGTTTGTACATGTCATTGTGTTTCCTGTAGTTATCTGTCAGACTTGGACGTGACACGACTGTAGAGTGTGTAACTTCTGACACATAGGTTTGTAGTTTTGGGACTTTTTACAGTATAAACTTAAACCGTCGGTGCTTTTATGGAGCAAAAAAAAACCCTCAAACATTTCTCTAACATCAATCTGTGATGAGCTGATACACTGTACGGGCCAAGCAGCGTTATTATTACAGCGCATTGTGTATTAGGGCTGCAATTTATGATGATACTCGTGTTTTTCTTAAATAATCGATTCGTTATTTGGTCTACAAAAGGTCAGCAAAGGGTGAAAAATGTACAGAAGCACAACATCTTGTCCTCAAAACTTGAAGATATTCAGTTTACTGTCAAAAAGAGGAAAGAAATCAGATAAATATTCACATTTAAGAAGCTGACATCAGAGAATTTTACCGTTTTTCTGTTTTAAAACAAATTACTCAAAGCAAAAAAGATCAGTTATCAGAATAGTTGGTGATTGCTAAATAACTGATCGATTAATCTTTAAACTTTAAAGGCTTGATTCAGAGGACTTTTCTTCAATAACCAACTGAATAATTATTTGTTAAAGTAGCCGTGATTATTTTAAAATTTAAAAACTAAGTGATTTGTTTTTTGCAGCTCTAATTTTTGTACAGTATAGAAAATGTGGAAATCTTTACAGCAGTTGTTCATATTAGGAGGAATGTTAAACGCTTCCGTCTTCGTGTGTTCAGTTTAATTTAACTTTTTCATTGTATACTGTGTTTCCGACAGACTTCACAGCGGGGAGAAGCCGTACGTCTGCGACGTCTGCGGTCAGGCGTTCGCTCAGTCCAGCACGTTGACGTACCACAAGCGGCGACACACCGGGGAGAAGCCGTACCAGTGCGACCTGTGCGGCATGTCGTTCTCGGTCTCCTCCTCTCTCATTGCACACGCTCGAAAACACACAGGTGAGGCGCGCAGGTGTCCGACGTCTGGTCTGGCTTCAATTTGAGCCGCTTGAACAAGCGACGAGATTGTTTGTGTTTTTCGTTTCAGGCGAGACTCCGTACAAATGTTCGCAGCTGAACTGTGACGCCAAATTTGTCACGTCCTCTGAACTGAAGAAACACATGCGGCGGCTTCATCCAGGTGAGTGTCCAGAGACTTTAAAGTTTTGTTTTGCGGGACAACATTCACCGGGTGGATGTATTACGGGTTTTCAGCGTCATGAAGGTGACTCTCCTTTAACCTGCTAGATCTCCATGGTAACTGATGCTGTGGAGCCAGGTCTCCATGGTAACTGATGCTGTGGAGCTTGGTCTCCATGGTAACTGATGCTGTGGAGCTTGGTCTCTATGGTAACTGATGCTGTGGAGCTAACCAGGTCGGGAGTTTCAGGTTGAAATCGGCTGTAAGAAGCGTCTCCCTTTAACCAGATCGTTTCGTTTATGAGCGATACAGATTCTCAGCTGAAGAAATGTGTTTTATCTGCAAACATGTTAAGCTGTACGATACTAAAACCACCGACTGAAGCCGTGTAGTTACAGCATCACGCACTGTGTACATTACGTTGCCATGGAAACCTACATGTTGATGACATCAATATGTTTTTGTGTTTGGTCCGTTCACCATGCTGGTACTGCAGCTGATAGATTTCGTGGAGCCGACTCACACAAAGAAAGCCTGGACGTGTCAAACTTGCTCTGTAGTTCAGAACTCAGTAGGGATGCTGGTAGGATTTAAACCTGCTCACACTGTTTGTTTGTGTTTGTGCAGAGGGCAACAACGGCGTGCAGTGTCTGCTGTGTGGAAACAGATTCGCCAGCGTGAAGAACATGATCAAACACCAGGAGAAGGCTCACGCCGAAGAGGTTCGGCAACACAGGGAGCGGGCCAGAGCTGGTGAGCAACAGCCACTAATTCTATCTGTACTCCAACAGAAATGATTAGATGTTGTTTTATCCCACATTCTGTGCTTGTGACGACCTTAAAGCAGACAAACCCTCCTGATGGTTATGTTTAAATGCTGAACCTTGATTCTAGAAACGTTTACGTGGAACATCCTGGTGGTGATTCAGTGTCTCTGTCCTGTGAGAGAAAACAGGATACGGTTGCATGTAAACATCCTGTCCAGGTGTCTGCAGATCACCAGGGCTGTAGCCAACCAGAGAAAACCCTGCTACACTTTAATTATGGCTCCTATTCAACCAAAACAAACGTGAACTTTGCCTGTAGATGAACTAAATGTTCCACAGCGCCACCTGCAGCCTTATCAGCTAAATGCATTCTAAAGCAGTGTATAGAAAGTCGTGTTTGCATCGTATTAAATCATCTGAGCCTTCATGTTGACACCATAAGAGTAGCTGCACAGGTTCATGTGATTTCAGAAAATATGTCGGCTGGTGATTCAGCACAAGAGCTGCTGACGGATGAAACACAAGCCTCGTAGCGTCGGGTCGTCTGGAGGCGACTTTTGTGCGTCTCCGTTGTTGTTTTGTGGCTCTCGGTTTTTCCTTTAAGTAATTTTGTGTCTCTTTAGCTGTTTGCGTTGGATTTGCTTTTTGTTTGTTTCCATTCTCTCTCAGTCAGTTTTAACAGCTTTCTGCTCATTTTGTGTGTCTCTGTAGTCGTATTTGTGTTCATTTTGCATGGTTTATTTCTGCTCTGTGTCTCGTTGCAGCCATTTTGCATCTGCTAGTGGTTTTATCTTTGTTTTGCATTAAGTTTGTGTCTTCACTTTGTGTCTCTTACTACTCGGTTCTACCTCTCTGTCTTCCCTTTGTGTGTCTTTCTGGTCTTTTTGTGGCGGCTTTGTTGTCGTTTTTTGACTCTTAGTATTTGTTTTGAGCAGTTTTGTTTCTCTTTGTGGCTGTTTTATCTTCATCTGACATGATGTTAGGAAGTTCAGAGCCGAGTAAACGTCCAGTAAACATGAAATAGGTCAGACCTGCAGCCTCAGTTAGTTTGGGAGAGTTCAAAGTTGTGAAAACACGGGGGTTCGTTCCTCCTGCTGGACAAGAATAATGGATTAGCCCAGGAAGGATGTAGATGTTTTCTAATAATGAAAGTGACATGGACGATGATCTGAGCAACAGCAACAGTTTATGTGCAGGTTGTCGCTTCAGCCGACAGAAACACAAACAGTTGCAGCAGAGAGAACGTCTCTTGTTTGGAGAAACCGTGATAATAAGAGACTTAAAGAGCTGTTCAGGTCAGCAGCAGAGCGTCGGTTTCCCAACTCGTTTCAGGTCAACAGTCATCCAGCAGATACAGGAATGCCACAGTGACATCTCCACACTGTTTACACGCAGTAATCAGTAACCAGGATGCTGGTATTTACAGGAGACCAGTACAGAACCAGATCTGTCTTTGCTCCATATAAACCTGAAACCACCAAACTCCTGTTCACATGCACAAGCGCCACTACTCTAACTAACCTGTGTATTTATTTACTGTGGGAGGAAACAGAAGAACCTGGAGAGAGGGAGGGAACAGGTTAAACATTCATTCATCTGGTGTTTCATTAGTGCTGCAAGCAGAATCTGAGCTGCAGCAGATTTCAGTGTCTGCTGCGTTTAGTAAATGAAGCTGAGCGTGTGAACTAGTTCACGTCGACCCACAAACACGTCGTGGTTGTTCCTGAGTCAGGGCTTTTAGCCGACAAAAGCGCTTTAAGATGTGTCGCGTAACCTGGTTTGCTGCTTCTCAAAGTGCTGCGTGTCATTGCTTATGCTTTCACAGTCACACTATGATCTTCATCCTCGTCTTCAGCAGCCCACCATATGAGTTAAATGTTCGCTTACGGTGATGAGCAAAGCCAGAATGGACGCCAGTGGTTGTTGGTTTACCTGCTAGCTAGATAGTGGCACAAAAGATACCCGCTGCTGGATGGTTTAGAATATAACACATGGTCAGGGGGTCGAGGAATCGAGTTGAGCCTCCGACTGAAACACACCTGGCCCACAATTCTTCATCATGTGGGTTACAGTTTGGCCTTCTGGTTGTTTGTTTGTTTGTTTGTTTGTTTGTTTTACTCGATGTGGTCTCATTTGTTCCTGCACCTCGTTGCAAACAGAACAACCATGAAGAAGCAGAGAGAACTCAGATGTCTTGTTTATGCCATTTAAAAAAATAAATAAAAACTAAAACTGAAAGAGCCTGAAATCAGCTAGTATCATGTAAGAGCCCAGAGGGGTGACGACAATAGAAAACCTTTAGTTTTTTTAAAGAATCTAGTAAGTGGAAACATTATTTTTGACAAATCTTTAAATAAAACGTGTAGAAAAAAGTGACTCAGATGAAATGTGTGATGAGTTTATGTTTGATGCATATTTATTTACATATATTAATATAAACCAATAGGACCAGGACCATGCACCACACCTCTCCTGTATGCTTTTTATTATCAGTCAGTTGTTTTATTGTAAATAACAACAATTTTGGCACCTTTGCATGTTAGTTACATGTTCGTTTGTACGTAGTGTCCTCATCTGTCTTGAATGTAACATGCTTGAATTTCCCCAAAGCGATGAATAACTTGTCTGTCTGTCCATCCGTCATTCATTTGAGGCTGAGGAACGCAGATTGTTTTGTTTTTTGAAGGACTTGTTGAGCACAAACGCTGACTGTTTAGCGTGTTTCTGAATGAGTGTGTTGCTTTAAATGATCATTCCAGCTGAGCGTTGTCTGACTGAACCCTCTGTGTGTCTGTGCAGTCGTCCTCCTGGCGTCCAGCCATCCTGTGGCCTTCGTCCAGAGCCGACTCACTCAGACGAACAAAGGTCTGGTCTCCATCCCCGAGGGCGAGCCGGCCAACCCCGAGCCGGCCACGCCGAGCCCCAAAGCCACGTCGGCGTCCGCGGCCTCGTCCGACGCCGCCACCACTGACTCTGCCGACGCCGCCATCATTCAGGACTTCAAGGCGGAGCCCTCTCACACGCCGCTCACCACCGCCGACCAGGTGACCTTCGAGGCCGACCAGGAGCAGACCATCAACTCGGACACCCTCCACGCTCTGGTGGAGCAGCTGCGGCCGCCGCCCTCGCCGGCGCCGGGCCTGGAGCAGATCGTCATCATCAGGACGGTGGACACGGCCGAGGGCAACCCTCCTCAGCAGTGAGGCTCCAGCTGGAACTCTTCACTTCCAACAAACGCCACAGTCTGTTTTCACAATCAGGCTCATGAAACACACTTCAGTCAGCAGCCGGTCATGTGTGATCCTCCAGTTTAACGGCAGTTTATTACAACTTGGGCCTCATTTTTATAGTTTTGTCCATCATTTCTATCAGTGGGAATAAATCTGAAACAGTGGAGCTGTTCAGGCGGGAACAAACCCACACCGACCCACTGAACTCACTGTGTAGGGATAGACGAGCACTACAACCTACTGTCATCATGGAGAAGTATCCACAGACTATTTTTTTAAGAAACAAATTCAATTATTAGTCGAAAAGTTGTTCTCAGACACCAAAGTGTTCGACCATCAGTCCAGCGTCCAGTTTAGTGACGTAAAACAGAGAAAAGCAGCAAAATCTTTAATTTGAAAAACTAAAAACGTCAAAGAATTCTCACTGTTTCTGCCTGAAAACTCCCTGAAATGACTGATTATAAAACACAGCTGCCAGTTATCGTTCTGTCGAGTCATTTCAGCTTTTGAGCGCACATTTTGCAAAGAGAAACTATTTGAAGTTGTGTTGTTAATCTGGATATTAATCATCAAATAATCCCTTTTTGTTTGTTTGTTGAAGTTGGAAATTGTTGCAGAACGTTTGTCGAGCAGCCAGAGAAACCTGGTTGGCTGTGACGTACGACAGAAAATCATGAAGTCGTCACATCTGAGAAGCTAGAAGCAGCAAACTTTAGACGTTTTTACTTCGTCTGTCATCAAAACTGTTATTCGTCCTCAGCATTTGCTGCTTAAATTTGCGTCGATCGATTAATCAGTGCAGCTCTAATCCAGAAAAACTGCTGGTTTGGTCGAAACAAGTCGTCGTTTTGTGAGTTAATATGATGTTAATACTTGTAGGATTCATGGTCAGAACTACAGAAATAAGACCGTAGTTGTAAAACACTGGAATATTCAGCGAGAAAAGTGAAATATAAATGGACCAGAATGGATTTAGAGTTCATGAGGAGATGACGGGATGAGAGGAGAGCAGCTCAACAGGTTTTCTTGAAGCTGCTCTGGCCTGCATCCATTATCTCATGTAGCATCCATCAAGCAGTGAAGTACACAAACCCCACTAATGAGTCTATGTTATGAGCAGAAATCTGTCACTATGATTGAACTAACCTGCTAAGCGCTCTGTATGAACACACTGATCCTGGTCAATAGACAAACAGGTGGCGAATTAAAGGAAATCTGACTTAAAGTGAGGCGTTGGACCACCAGCACAGAAGAATTATCTTTATTTAGTGTTGTGGTGATGATGGAGGAGGAGAGCGTTTTCTATCATTTTGGACCAAATCTCTTGAATTGTTCAGTTCGGTTGAGATCCGGTGACTGTGAAGGTCCCGGCGTGTGATTAACCAGTGCATCCAGTGGATCCTCGTGCTGCTCCCACAGCAGAACAAGGCCACCAGTTCTCCTCAGTGAAGGCCTCACGGGTTCAGGTTTTCCTTTAGTTTGTCCCCCGTTTGTAGATTTCTGTCAGTATCTTAAAATGTCTGTTCATGGTGGAGAACCGGCTCAAGTTTTGCATCGAATTCAATGATGTTTCCACAGTAATCACAAGGCAAGAGTCCAATTCCTGCTTAAGAGTAATCGTTTTAATTATGAGAACAAGCTCACACATCGGGACTCGGTACCGTGGCGTAAACACAAACTGGAGGAGACTCTCTGACTGGCGGCTTCAGCTAAAGACGAATCAAACAGAAACTGACTCTTTCTTCCAGTGTGGGAACCGCTGACTGTGGCCGATGAGTTTCAGAACACTGAAGATCCACGATTTTACCAAAAAAAACAAAAACCCATTCAGACTAACAACCTTTTGTCCGACTCCTGCAGCTGTTTTCTGTTGGATGGAACAACGAAGTGTGAGGAAGATTCTGGGACAGTCGGTTGAACTCCTGCATTGTTTTAATAGTTAACGTAGTGAGTAGCGGCCTTGCTATGGCTTTGAGATGTAAGTTGTTTCTGTTCTTGTTTTCTTTTTTAATTCATCGTTCGGTAAATGTTCCACTCTGCAGTGTTTGACGTGTGACGGTGGCTTCATTGAACACAACCCTGCTGATGTAGAGGCCAGGTTTTCTCTTTGTTTCAGAGCAGCCGTTTGAAAACTGCAATAGGACGAAGCTGTTTGTTCATTTCATGCTTTTCTTTTTTTTTTGTTTTCTTTTGTATAAATCCTCTGCATTACCTGTACAGACATGTGAATTACGTATACAAGTTCACTACTGTATAAACACTGTACAACAGAATAGACAAATAAAATTGAAGACAAAAAGTGACAGTTAGTTTGGTGTTGGTGGTGGATTTCTGATGATGATGATGTTCAAACACACCTTGTCTGCACACCTTGTGTTTTAAGGACCAGCATCTGGCCACAATGAATCGTTTTCTGTGTTTATTTTGTTTAAAATGTCTCGTAATTGCAAAAAAATTATCCTGAAAAGGAGGAGTTTTGCAATAAAATGTGTTGAGTTACTACGATTATAAAACTAAATTCAGTCCAGTTAGAAAAGGCTTCAGGGCAGGGGTCTCGAACTCCGGTCCTCAAGGGCCACAGTCCTGCATGTTTTAGATGTTTCCTTCTTCCAACACACCTGATTCAAATGATCAGGATCGTTATCAGGCTTCTGCAGAGCTTGATGATGAGCTGATCATTTGAATCAGGTGTGTTGGAAGAAGGAAACATCTAAAACATGCAGGACTGTGGCCCTTGAGGACCGGAGTTCGAGACCCCTGCTTCAGGGTAAAAAAAAAAAAAAAGTCTTGAATTTAATTCACAAAATCTTCTTTAGACTATTTTATTGCATTAAATTAACAACTTCAATATTTCTTTTTAAATTCTAGGTCTTTGAGGCAAAGAAATAAGTAGAACTCGTCATATTTGCAGCTTTGAAATAATGAGAAAATGTAATATAAATGTCCAAAAAATGAATGTAAATAATTTTAAGAATTGAAAAGTAATTAAATTTAATTCAGTGAGATATTGCAACAACTTTAAGTCTTTTTTTAAATTATTATTATTAAAAAGTGTAACAGGGGGAAAGTTTGATATTAAACAAACATAAAAAAACAAACTCCACAGTTAAAGAAATACAGTAAAATCAGAAAGTCAGAATGGAAAGTTATATAAAACACAATTACTGACCTTGTGTTTCCTCATATGACAAGAACAACAGCTGGATTACGTAAAGAAAATGCAGCAGATTTATATCTGCCCATCAAAATCTGTCAATATAATGTAATAAATAAATAAAAATATTAAAAGAAAATAAACAACGCACTGAAAGGATTTTATATTTTAGAATAAATTAATTTTTATCTCCCGTTAAACGCGGAAAATTCAGTAAAATTTCCTTTATTTTGTCTTTTGTCCTTCGCGGGACGCCGTCCAACTTGTTGCCATAGAAACTCAAACTGAGCCGGAGCCCTGATGATGGATATTAAAACTATTTCGGAGTTTTACGAAGCTGTCTGCGCCGAATATGACATAAAAATCAACCCAGACGCTTTACACGTTTTACAGAAAGCCGCGGCAACAGGGTAAGTGTTCTAATTTTAACGCAAATGGCTAAAAAAAAGATTTTATTAAGCTAACAGCGAACTGTAGTGATTAGCTTAACGAGCTAAAGCTACATCCGGGTACTTTCAAGTCAACATTCAGCTACTTACTAGTAAGTAAAAGTACTTACTAGTAAAAATACTGCATTTAAATATTCCTAAGTAAAAATTAAAGACATAAGCAGCGGTGGAGAAAGTATTCAGATCCTCTATTTAAGTAAAAGTACAAATACCATTGTGTAAAAATAGCCAGTTACAAGTAAATAGTTTTTACTTTTTGATTTTAGGAACATTTAAATGCAGTACTTTTACTTGTAATTGTGTGTTTTACTGAGTACATGAATGAATGACAATGTCAGTGTAAATGTGAGTCACTGGGTGGTAAAATGAATATATTAACTTACTAAATTAATTAAAATAATTCATATAGTTGAGAAAAGAAGCAGCAAACCGACTAATTGACTCATTAATTAAAACATTTCAGAGCACAAAGACGCACAAACAGCCACACTTTGAGCCCACAAACCTTGAACAAAGAAAAGCAAAACTACAGTGAGCAGTGGCTAAATAAAAGTAAAACTAAATAGAACATGCAAGTTAATTAATCGTCATATTTATTAGCTTCCACTGTCTTGTGGGGTTTAGGGGACTGGAGGACCTCAAATGCATCAATTTAATCTACAAAATAGAACCACACAAATGTTGTTTCCCCAGAAGCGTATAAATCTGACAGCAGACGTGTAAAACTGCATTATTTTGTAATTCGTTGCAGGAATTTCACCTTGAAGCTGTCAGGAAACAACAGACTGAGGCGCGTTCAGAGACTGAGTGACGCCGACGTCCTCGCTCTCTCTAAATGTCTGCACAACAACAAGCGTGTAACAGGTGAGCTGTCAGATTCAGGTTAGAAAAAGAACAAGACACAACTTTAACAGGATATTTTTAAAGATTTTTGTGTGAACAGGCCTTGATCTGAGGTACAATAAGATAAGAGACGAAGGGGCTGAACACCTGGCTGAGCTCCTACAGGTAGGAAACACGGATTTATTCATTTATTAGCAGGTGACTGTCACTCCGGACGTCATTATTATCATTATTACTGTGACAAACAGGCCAGATTTATGGAAATGCTTCGTTTTTATGTGTATTGACACTGTGTGTTTTCACTGAGCAGCACCAGAACTCGGCTCTGCGCTCTCTGGACCTGACGTTCAACGATATCGAGACAGACGGAGCTCAGGTCCTCGCCGGCAGCCTGCAGGTTCATTTCACTCTCAGACATCAAGAATGTCCTATTTGTTAGCTTCCTGCAGCAGCTGTCCTCTATTTAATGCTGCAAACGGGTAAAATGTTTAGTTTTTAGATGCCTGTTAATGGTCTTTATCGGAGCGCACAGTCAGAATAAGAACAGAAGGGACTGTAGAGGATACTTACAAAATCAAAGCAGCACTTAAAACTTCCAATTTCACACATTTTTCACTTTGAAGCTGCAAAAATTTCCTAGAAGATGGCTCCTTTTATCTGAGCGTGCCCAGAAAAGAAGAAGAAAACCTGATAACCAGCATGTAAAACCCTAAAGAAAGCCGGCTGTAGTCTTCATCTTGCCCCTCTCAAAGCTTTTATGTTCAACACCAGTCTTGTGTTTGTCTCCTTCTGTAAACATGTCGAGCTCTGGATGTCAGTAAAACACAGTCATTGTTGTTTTTAACCTTTTCGTGTGCTTTGTTGACTCTGATTTGAACTGTGTGTCTCTACAGGGTAACGGCAGCCTGCTGTCTCTCCGCCTGTCGGGTAATAAGATCGGGAACAGAGGAGCCATGTACCTGGCCTCCATGCTGCAGGTGAACAGCAGTCTGCAGCAGCTGGAGCTGGCTGACTGCGACCTGGTAAACACACCGTCTGTAGTTTGAAGAGACAAGGAGCATAAAATCAGGTTAAATTTACTTTAAAAGTTTACTAGACGTGTGCATCACACCCGGCTGTTTCAACATCATTTCAATGGCTGTACGTTTAAATGTAAACTATGTAAGTTAAGGATTTGTGTATTTTTGTCATTTTGTACAAGTTTAAGTTCATGTTAGACATGTTTTGGGGCATTTTTAGACCGATTTTGAATAACTTTTGATTAATTTTTGTCATTTTGGATAAATTTTAGATCATTTTGATCAAATCTTTTAGTGAGTGAATACAAAGTTTTGAGTGATTTTTGATATTTTGGTCATTTTGGACACATTATTTGTGATCTTGGAGAAATTTTGAGTCATTTCTGAACATTTTTTTGTTTCATTTCTGATAAAACTTGAGATGTTTTGGAGACATTATTAGTTGTTCTTGATGGATGCATAGATTAGTGACATTTTGTACAGATTTTAGATCATTTTTGATGTCGTTTTATTTCAAGTTTCAAGTTATTTATTTATTTTTTTTCCCATTTTGGAGACAAAAACACATGAACGTAAACGGATGTTAGCAAGCTGACTGGTCTCTACACGTGGAGACGCTTTGAGTCCAGATAAGAACAAGTACTAGTTTCCTCTGCAGGGTTTCAGACTGATAGCCGTCCAATCAGCAGCCGGTTTCTCTGAGCTCTCCTCTGTCGCTGCAGGCCACTCAGAGTGTGATCGCGCTCAGCATCGTGTTGAAAACCAACAAGGCCCTTCGATCCGTCGACATCAGCCGCCCGCTGCTCTTCAGCCACCAGGTACAGACACACAGTGGCTCTACTGCCTCTGCATCATGTGTGTGTGGGACAGGATGAGTCCAGCAGACTGATGAGGGGCTCTGGATGCTTTCAGGAGGAGTGGGCGGTCCACTTCTCTGAGATGCTGGCAGTGAACAGCAGCCTGCTGGAGCTCCACCTGGGGAAGGTGGGGATGAGCGACTCTGGGATGGAGAGGCTGACTGAAGGCCTGAGGCTGAACCACAGCCTGCGCTACCTGGACCTGCGCTGGTACGAACAAAGACATCAGTCCAGCCGCCAGCAGAGATCCTCCTGCTGAACCTGTTTGCTGCACTTCTTCTTCTTCCTCTGTCGGATTTCTGCAGCAACCGCGTGACTCGTGACGGTGTTCGCCGCCTCGCCGAGGTGCTGAAGCAGGACTCGGCTCTGGAGGTCATAGATCTGTCGTCCAATCGGATCGAAGACGAAGGTGCAGCGTACCTGAGCGAAGCCATCGCCTCGCCGGCCTGCGTCCTGAAGGAGTGAGTCTGACATGGTCCTGCTGCATTCAGAAGCTAAACTGACCTCCTAGTGTCCAGCTTCTGAGCCCCTTAAAGTCAGATCAGGTCTAGTTCAGTCAGAGGTTGTGAGCAGCAAGTTTTCCTCCTCAGATAAGTCTCCTAATTACCTCATGCAGTGATAAAAGAAATGACACAGGACGACTTAGCAAGTCTCCTCCAAGTGGCTGCAGAGTGTGGTCTGAAAATGGGAAATAGTACAACTACGACCACACACAGATTTGTAGGATCTTGGATGGTTGTGACCTGCAGGTGGTTTTATATCTGACCTTCTGTCTCCATCTGCAGGTGGTTTTATATCTGACCTTCTGTCTCCATCTGCAGGTAGTTTTATATCTGACCTTCTGTCTCAGGTTGTCCATCAGCAGCAACAACATCTGGACGGAGGGTCTGCTGTCTCTGGCTCAGGCGATGAAAGCAAACACGACCCTAACACATGTCTACATCTGGGGAAACCACCTGGAGGAGCCCGTCTGCCAGGTAAAGCATCCCGTCACCTCCCCGGACGCCCTCGTGTTTCCTCAAACCAACAGCTGCTTCCTCCTCCAGGCCTTCGGAGAGCTGCTATCCAGCGGCCGCCTGCCAGCGGAGCAGACCGACGTCAGCGCGTACGAGGTGGACGGTCGGCTGTTTCTGGCCGAGTCACCCAACGGTTTGAGGAAACACTGGTTCGGCAGTAACGGTACAAACGCTGCTCTGAGCAGCGACGCCACACTTCCACCAAACATGGAGCAGCAGCAGCAGCTCGCTCCTCTGCAGTTCTGACACCGAAGCCCGAAGCTTCCTCACTTCAAACAACAACAACACAAACACACCAGAAGAAACAAAATAAACTTTCAGAACAACAATCTGCTTCGTGAGAGTTTTTTAATCAAATATTCATCAAGGTGCATAAATATAAAAAGTAATCTCATGAATTCATCACAAACACGATTTATAAAACTAAACATTCAACATTTTCTTCGATCGGCTCCCAGTGGAAGTGTTAACACCATCACATTTACGTCCTAAAACTGGACAGAAATGATTCTCAGGCAGCTCAGCAGCTGTTCTCCACCTTCTGATTGCAGTGGACAGCGTTCGTCCAGTTGTCATGAAACTGAAGCATTTTCATTTTCATGTTTTCCACGTTGTCCTAAAAGTTCACACTCAGACTTTAATGTGTGCATGAGCGTCAGTGGCAGCTTGAAAGTTCTCCTATGAAGGAATAATGTGACTTTAACGGAGCTTTTCTGAGCGTTTACACAGAAAACATGACAATTAAATTACAATATCATTTTAAGAATGAAGGTTTTGAAATGAGATTCTTTCCGTTTCACTCAGAATTACATTTCTCAAGTTAAAGCTAATTGAATTTTTGTGACAACAAACTCGAAACACAACATTTGAATATGTTACCTTTAGCTTGAAGGACAGTGATTGTTGTTGTTGTTGTTGTGATGTTTTATACACTGATATTAACATCAGATTTGCTGATAATAAAAACAGCTGTTGGTTGCAGCTTGAAGCTTTACATAAAACAACCCTAGCTGAGGTTTTCTCGACCATCTCTGACATTTTTATAGGGTAAAATAAGAATATTTATAAAGATAATCGGGAGCTTTTAGCCTCATAAATCAAATATGTTCTGAGACAACCTAAAAACTGCACGTGTACAGGAAGATTTGAGGCTGTTTGAACGACAGCATCTCAGAAACTGTTAAAGATAAAAACCTGAAATGTTCTCTGTTATTTCTCATCATGTCACTGATTTAGAATCTGTGATGTTGGACCAGTGGATCAAACAGTCTCTGATTATGGGTGAGATGAAATATGGGAGGAAAAAAAATGTATGGCATCATAAAAAGTCTCATCTTTGAGCTCATATTAGCAAAAAAGTTGGTCATGCAGGAATCAGTCATAATATTTTATGAACCACATGTAGCTGCAGGTCACAACTATACAAAACTACACACAGAGAATCACTGTTCATATGAAATACTTGATCTTTATCTTTCTAACTGACTGATCAGGTGTGACGAGTTGTACCACAAAAACAAAAACATCAGTAGGTCGTCTGGTCCGAGTAGAGTTCTGGAGTTTCAAAATGGTTCTGTAAATATAACTAAGAACATATGTGTGTTTCAGGATGGGCGTGTTTTTCATTTTCTGAATCAATGACATGATGAGAAATAACAGTGAAACCTTTTATCGTTAATAGTTCCTGAGATACATTCATCTAAACATAGGATCAACTTTTAATGTGTAATGAAAGTTTATTAAAGAAGTATTTGATATATTAATTTAAAATTTCCCAAATATGATTGTAAATCTGCATAATTATGGCAAAAAAAGTTTCAATTTGAGCTGAAGGTTCCAGATGATCTGAGATTAAATAATCTGCAGGATCTTATGAAGATGTAGTTCTGTCTTGTAACTCAGTGGTGAACATTTCTGACAGATGTACGGTTTTTTCCACACATCCTGTTGACTTGACTGTAAACCATCGTTTCCACCAGACGAGTGGATCTTGGGTTCCTACTCCTCCGGTCGACTCTCCTCCGGACTCTCCTTGAACGCTCCGTCTCTGACGTCTGGATCCCACTCCAGCAGGACGCTCCTCTTCCTCAGGCTGAACTCCAGCCGTTGCCTCTCCTCGGAGCCGCCGGTCCAGCGCTGCAGCGCCAGCCGGGCCAGCGCCGGCATCCGGGGCAGCGCTTGGAGCAGCGAGGGCAGCCAGGCGGAGCAGGGGGCGGCAGTGGAGGGCCGCAGGCTGAGGTCCACGTCCTCCAGCGAGCCCAAACCTCCGGCAGCGAACAGGTGGGACCAGCCCTCATCGGCCACCGAGCCGTTGTAGGACAGATCCAACACTCGCAGAGACGACAGAGAACCTCGTCTGCAGGCTGCAGCTGTGAATCAGGTCACAGTTATTTCTTTAAAAACAACCCGAGTCGACCAAAACGCTGCACGTGTTCACAATCAGGCAGCAAAACATGAGCACTGATCAGTTTAATCCATGTTATTATAATAATGCAGGTTCTCAACCGAAATATTGAACTTAGTCGGCTAAATTTATACAATTAAACTTATTACAGGGTTCAACTTTAATCTATAATTTATCTTAATTTAGACAAATTAAAAACGTTACCCAGGTTCTGCAAGTCGTCCGTGATGAGGTCACAGCTGCTGAGGCGGAGCTCCACGATGACCGACGGCTGCAGGACGTCCAGCAGCAGCGCCAAGCGACCGCCGACCACTTTACACCAGGAAACGTCCACGCTGCGCAGGTACGGCACCGCCAGAGCTACAGCACACACACGTAGAGCTTCGTCATCATCATCATCATCATCATCATCATCATCATCATCATCATCATCATCATCATCATCATCATCATCAGCACGGTAGCACATTAGCATCATGGAAAATAACATTACTATAGAACATTTTTATGGCTTTTTTTTTTACCAGGACATGTTGATTAATTTTTTTGGACAATGCATCAGTCAGTGCTGCTGATAATCCAGGCTGTGATGATAATCCTATAAATGGAATATAATTATTTTTGTTGTTGTTGTTGTGGCATCATGTAAACAAACTGGTATTAGAAGGTTTAAAGTCCTGAAATTAAATGTAATGGAAGTTACAATCAGGACTGATTCTGGTTTAATTAAATGACTGTGTGAAAATAAAGGAAAATAATATTGAAATCTGGCATTTTACTGCCATTTGTTACAGTTGAATCAGTTTTTTATTCAGTTTATTCGCTGCTCAGTGCAGTTTGAAGGTGGACATGCTCCACTGTCTCTAACTGTCTCATTCCAACATATTAAAAACTGACGTGTAAACGGGCTAAAGCACGTCTGTGTCGGTGTGTTTGTACCCAGAGCGGTGAGGGATTCCTGGTTCAGGCTGCAGCTGTTGAGCGGCAGCCGCCTCATCTGCATCACGGGGAGGGCGGAGACCAGCTGGCGGACCACGCCCCCCGCCTCCTGATTGGACGAGACGTCGAGCTCCGTCAGTGAGGTCAGCGAGGGCAGCACCTGGACTGGAGACAGAGTCACGTGACTGGAGCAGGTAGAAGCAGCTTCAGGTCCGTCTGAGGTTTAGATTCACAGAGACTCACTCAGGTGCATCAGGTCGTCGTGTGTGAGGCAGCACAGGTGCAGGTCGAGGCGCTCCAGGTGAGCCACGTGGGCCAGGTGGCAGGTGAGGCGGCCCAGGCCTCCAGAGAGCTGCTTGTTACAGGACAGGTCCAACTCCCGCACAGAGGGGAGGTAGCGGAGCGAACCACCTGCAGGGCAGCGGGGGGGCAACAGGTGTGTGACCGGTACAGGTTTGATTCTCTTTGATTTATATTTGTGTTGATGTTTCGTGTCTTTGTGTTGTTTTGTGTCTCAAAGGGGACATTTAGTGTCTCTTTGTGGTGGTTTTGTGTCTTTGTGCTTTTGTTTTGTGTCCTCGAAAGATCATTTTGTGTCTTGTGTACAATCTTTATGTCTGTTTGGGGTCATCTTGTGTCTTTTTCTACACATCTTGTGTCGTCCTGACCATCTCACCTCTTGTTGTGGAGCCTATTTGTTGTCAGTTTGTGTCTTTGTGCAGCTATTTTGTGTCGCTTTGCAGCTTTTTTTGTCACTCCGGGGTCAATTTGTGTCTCCTTGTTGTTGTTTTGTGTCTTTTTGCTGTTCGTTTGTGTCTCTCGTACATGTTTCGTGTCTTGCTGGTCATTTAATTTATTTCTGCGTCGTCTCTCGTTAATTCATGTTAGTCAATGTCTCATCTTTCTTTGTGGTGGTTTTGTGTCTCGCTTGCTGTTGTCGTCTCTTTGGAGTCATTTTGTGTCTCCTTGTTGTTGTTTTGTGTCTTTTTGCTGTTCGTTTGTGTCTCAAAGATTTGTGTCTTTGCATATTTTTTGTTTCCTTGTGGTCGTTTTCTGTTTTCTTGTTGTCATTTTACGTCTCTTTGTGGCCATTTGGGGGTTTTTTTTGTACACATGTTGTGTTTGTGTTGCTGCTGTGCTTCACCACCAAACCGTCACCATCAGAAACCTCCTACCGAGAGCGTCGAGTCCGTCGGCCGTCAGACCGCAGGCCTGCAGTCGGAGCGTGGCGAGGGAGGCGGCGTGAGAGAGGGAGGCGGCCAGCTCCCTGAAGCCGCCGGCGTCCACCTCCTGCGAGAGCTCAGGGTTACAGGAAACGTCCAGCAGGCCGAGTCTGGGCAGCGCAGCCAGCATCCCTCCTGCAGGGAGCAACACAACGGTCTGACAGGGAGCAGCACAGCAGAGGAGAACTCAACAGAACTCAGGCTGCAGTCGGTACCCAGGACGGTCGCATCGGCCGCACACAGCCGGCAGGCCACCAGGTGGAGCTCCCTCAGCGCCGGCTGCAGTTTACCCAGAAGGCCTTGCAGGGCGCCGCCGCCAACGCCGCTGTTCCACGACAAGTCCAGGGTCTCCAGGAGAGGGACGCAGCTGAGAGAGTCGCCTACACAAAAACACACAAAACACTTAAAACACTTGGTTTTCTCACTGTTTTAAAAATGTTCCACAAACAGCAAGATGTTAAAGATGAAGTGAATGGATCCGGATCCTTCTGTTTACAGCTCATTTGTGTCTCCAAGAGGTGATTTTGTCTTTTTGTGCAAGTTTTGTTTGTCTTTGTGGTCGTTTTTCCTCTTTGTTGTCGTTTTATGTCTCTAAGAAGTCATCTTGTGTCTTTTTGTACAAGTTATGAGTCTCTTTGTGGTCGTCTTTCCATTTTACTGTTGATTTTTGTCTCTTTGTGGTCATTTTGTGTCTCTAGTTGTTATTTTATGTCTCTCGGGTCGTCTTGTGTGTTTTTGTACATGTTGTGAGTCTCTTTGTGGTCATTTTTCCTTCGTGTTGTTGTTTTATGTCTCTTTTAAGTCGTTCTGTGTCTCTAAGAGGTCGTCTTGTGTCCTTTTATTCACACTTTGTGTCTCTGTGGTTGTTTTTCTTATTTTTGCAGTTAGATGGATGTTCAGACCAGAAACTAAAACGTAGAGTCTTTCTCACCCAGAGCGGCGACGTCGTCGGCGTTCAGCCTGCAGCTGCAGAGCCTCAGCGTCCTGATGCCAGACACCTGCTGCAGGTGAGACGTGAGCGCCGCCACAGATCCTCCAATCAGAGGGTTCCAGGAGACGTCCACCTCCTCCAGCTGAGGGAGGAACTGCAGCAGCGACGCTGAGGAGGGAAGACGAGAGAATCCCACAACATCACGCACAAGCACAACGTGACACTGCAGCATGATGGACTCTGTTCCACAGGTTTGATTTTATAACTGAGACCTGAGGAAACCTTGACTTAGATAATAAACTTAAAAAAATACTACTAACAGGAAAACAGGACATTTGTTCATATATGTATTATCCACTGGTGTTTCTGATTTTAGTCGCTTTCTTCTTGCTGTCAGAAGTATTAATAATCCTTATAAAGAGACATCAGCGTGTTTGTATTAGTTTTTCATCATTTCTTACTAAAAAGGCACAAAAACCTGATAATTTATAAAAACACTGAAGTGATCGGCGTCATTATTCCCACATAGTTTGGCTAAAGGTTTCATAACTTTATAATATTTTTGAATGTAGTTGAAGCAGTTGAGTTGTTTCGTGTCTTTTTCTAAATGTTTTTTGTCTTTTCATGTCTCCTTGTTGTTGTTTTGTGTCTGTAGGAGACATTCTGTGTCTCTGTATGTGTTTCTGTGTCTCTCTGCTCATGTTGTGCCTTTTTTTGTGGTTGTGATTGAATTTTGTCTATTTTTGCTGTTGCTTTGTGTCTCTTTGTGTAACTCTTTGCAGTTGCTTCATATTTTAAATGTCAAACTTTTCACTGTATGAGAAAACCAGCAGGAAGTGGATCTACATGCAATCTTCTATTTTGTTTTTTTTTCAGTCTTGGTGAGATTGAGACTAATTTGCCTCCAAACACCTCGTCAGTCTCCATGAATGTGACCCGTCAGCAGCTGTGTGTTGTTGTGTGTTGTTGTGTGTTGTTGTGTGTCTGTACCGAGCTCCAGCAGGTCTGTAGCCGTCAGATCGCAGTGAGCCAGACTCAGACTCCTGCTGTCGCTTTTCTTTCCGAGCCGCTGCAGGAAAAGGCCGACTCCTCCCCAGCCGACGTGGCGTTCGCTGTCCGCCGACGCCGCGACGCCTGAAACACAAACGAAGCAGGTTTCTGTTTCTCTCAGCTAGATTGTAGAAGCTTTTATCGTCCGACACAAACAGCAGGATGTAAAGACAAGTGAAGGACCTCTGACCTCCAGCACTGAGAGCCGCCATGTCTGTAGTCTGTTCATCTGCTCATTTTGTGTCTCTAAGAAGTCATTTTATGTCTTTTTGTGTAGATTCTGTGCCTCCTTGTGGTTGTGTTGTGTATCTTTGTAGCTGCTGTGTGTCTGTAGTGGCTGTCTAGTCTTTAATACGTGTTGCTTAATGGTTGGTTTCCACACTTTTGCTGTTATTTTGTGTCCCAAAGAGAAGATTTTGTGTGTTTTTGTACATGTTTTGTGTCTCTTTGTGGTTAGTTTGTGTTTTATTAGTGCTCATTTGGTGTCTTTTTGCCGTTTTGTGTATCACTGGGCTCATTTTGTCTCTTTCTGGACATGTTTTGTGTCTCTTCATGGTTGTTTTGTGTTTTGTTTGTGGTCATTCAGGGACTTTTTGCTGTTTTGTGTATCCCTGGGGTCACACTGTGTCTTTTTGCTGTTACTTTCAGTCTTTTTAGGGTCATTTTGTGTCTCTTTGCTGTAATTTTGTGTATCACTTGTCTCTTTCCGAACATGTTTTGTGTCTCGTCGTGGTTGTTTTGTGTTTTCTTTGTGGTCTTGTTGTGTTGTTTTGTGTCTCAGAGGTCATATTGTACCTTGTATTGTAACAATAAAGTGACATTAGGCCTGGATGCTGACCTGAGCTCTGTCCTCTGTCCTCTCTGGCCTCCGACTCGCCGTCCTCTGGGATCCCCGTCTGGCTGGAGCTCCTGGACAGGAAGCGTCCCAGCGGCTTCCTGTCCGAGAACGAACGCTTCCTGCGGATCTGGCTCATGATGACATCGAGAGGGGAACGCCGCTGGCTGCCGCTGTCCCGACCACGCTGACCGTCTGACCAATGAGAGGCAGGCAACAGTTTAGTCTCTCCTGCTTTACGTCATTATGAACTCATTAGAAGATGCCCTCGTTAAACCATACAGGTGAGGATCATGGAGATATCATGGGGTAGTTTGGTTTCCTCAGAGCAATTTATAGAATGCTAAAATATCCATTACATTTATCTAAAACTCCAGTAAGTACCTAAAAATATGTGTAAAGGACAAGTTCTAACTGTTGATAACAATGTATAACTATTAATAAGAACATAAACTGTCTTTAAATGTACTTTATCTGTATTATTCTGTTTATAAACTGCTTAAAGTTGACCTAAAAAAAAAACTAGAATCAGTCTATTTGGTATTCAGAGAGAATAACTACATAAAAATAAACTTTTGGTGATTAATTATAAGAAACCTTAAATCTCATTTAAATTGTGACATTTAAAAACTAACCTACTGTAAAATTAAAGTTTAAACTGTGCTTTAATGCACAGATTTTATTCACCTTTAAGTCAGAACAAATCTGATGAAGGATGAATATAAAACGTTCTTCTCCAGATGAGGATTAAAAGTCAGTGTTTTTCTGAGCGATAGTTTCGGTTTTAATCCGCTGAGCAGCAGAACTCTTCTTACCTGCAGACTCCATGTGAGCTCCAGGTGAAGACAGACACAGAGGGTCAGTAAATCTGGAAGCTCGGCGGTGTTTTCAGGAGTCCGTCCTGGAGGCGACTCGCTCGGTTCGGTTGAACTCAAACAGGAAAATTCAAAAAAATAAAAATAAAAAAGTGTCACCTGGACGCAGCGTTCAGCCTCATGTACAATCACAGAATCACATCTGCAGGATCCATAATGTGTATGATTGTGCTTTTCCTCGGTCACCTGCTCACCGACCAGGTCCTCCAGACACCTGCGTGACGTCACGGCTCGTGCTCGTCAGGTGGATCATCCCGGAAGTGCGCAGCGCGTTCAGCACGTCACCATCAAGCTGATCAGTTTGCAAAGTAGGTATCGATTTTAGTTCAATAATAAACATACAGTGACAATAACTTGATAGTGGAAGAATTTAAATAGATTTTCAAAATTAAAAACAACTTCCTGTTATTATTTATTACATGCATTCATTTGAAAATTAATAATTATTGAGCTGATATAGTTTGAAAGTTAAGACAAATATTTTTAATGTTGTAATTAAAAGATTATCGGTACCTATTTTTAGTTATTACACATTAAATTAACTACCTGCTAATTGCGTTTTCAAAACGGCCTGTTGAACCTTTCCAGGATTGATGGGGCTCAGTTTGCAGCACCTGCAGTGTTGGAGCGGGAACTGGAAGGCTTCAGAACTCGCCTGGGAATCCTGCGGTTTTTACGTTTTCTACAGGACCCAAGTCATTTAACGAAAGCTGCCTGTAAGTTCAAGAGTGCATTGCAAAAAAGAACTATTCATAGCTAATTCGGCTTGTTGAGTTCTCCAAAATATAAACAAATATCCGCTTTAAAGGGGTTTAAATTAAAGCACAATGTTTACTGGAGCCAGAATCAGAGCGCTCCAGAACTGGACCAGGAGTCCTGCGATTTTTACGTTTTCTTCAGTATCAAAGTAATTCAGTGATAGCTGTCGCCACATATAATGTCACATATGATAAATAAGCACTTCATAGATAATTCGGCATACTTGATTTAACAAAATGTGAACAAGCACTGACCAAAAGTGGGGTTAAACTTGCAGTATGCTGTACCAGGAACTTGCATGAGAATCCTCCGGTTTTTAGGTTTTCATCAGTATCAAAGTAATTCGGTGGAAGCTGTCGGTACATACAATGGTACAAAGCAAAAATACACTCTTCATAGCTAATTCGGCATAAATGACGTTCTAAAATGTAAATTAATAAAGGTTAAAAATCCGTGCTCAAGTTGCAGAACGCATTGCAACTCAAGGCCAAACTGTCCAGTAGTTCTCTTTGTGGATGACATGTTGGACTAATCTGGTTCACATGGTTTAATTTGTGAAACTTTTATTCTATGTGTAAGCCATTCAGACCGAGTCTACTGTGTTCTGAGTTGAAGAAAACACAATGAAAGTACTAACTTGGATTTTTTTAAAACCTAAAATTCGGTTTCACGAATATAAAAGTGGGTTTTAAACTGCATTGAGGCTTTAACATGTGAATAAATAGATTTGTAGGCACATTTCAATATGTTTTAATCTTTGTGTGCATTCATGAACCTCTGGAGATGATACAACTTTCAGTTTTTTGAACCTTTTTCCCATTTTATAATCACAAGACAAATGAAAGCAGCAGATATTTAGAGCTGAGACTAATGAACTGTTCATTGTTAGTTAAAAATGACAAACAAAACCTGTTTTTATCTATAATTTGCTTGAGATTATTTATTTGTGCATCTGTATTTTGCACAAAACTCCAGATAAAGACCATTTTAAGTCATTTTGACCTTTCTGTTTCTGGCGACACAAATGAAACCTTGAGGACGTTCCTTCCAAATTCATTTTATTACATCGGACTGAAATATGTGGCGCGTGCAGGATGGCCGTCTGCACCAGGCTTGTGGAGGATTGTAATGGAGGCCTAAAGCAGCTCCTCCGCCCTCCAGCATCAGAGAAGACGGAGGAGGCGTCTTTAAACCGCCGACATGTCCCTGTTCTGTTCCCTTCCTTCCTCCTCGTGGCGGAAAAAAACAACGTAAAACCAAAGAAAGCTAAAGGAGCGGGATGGTCGTGCTGCTTCAGTCGTCGTCCACCGTCGGTGTGATGGTCACGCCCCTCCTGATCTGCCCCCAGCCGATCAGACTGAGGAGAGAACACAGGACACGCCGGTTACAAGGTGCAACACAAACACTCGTTTTCTGCCTCACAGCTGAATGAGATCAGTGGTTTCTGGCAGAGAACTGAACAAAAAGCAGCAAATTTAATCAGCATCACAAGAAAAACAAAACTGAGACCAAACAGTCACAACTCAGCACGTTCGAGGATTGATTTGAACATTTCACTGATCACAGAGGCTTTCCTGATTTTACGTGAACTTCCTTTAAACTGTCTTTTATTTGTTTAATAATGTTTTTTTCCAGCACTATGGTAGTTTTTAGTCAGAAAACTGTACTTTTTCTGTCTCTTCCTGTTAAAATCTGATGATTTTATGAACTTTTGTTTTATTTTGCAGGTTTGTGAAGAAATTTGTATCTTGGATTTTGAAAAATGTTCTATAAATAACATAAATAATAACGATGATGATAATAATAGTAGTAGTTGTTTGTAATAGTAGTTGTAATAGTACTAGTTGTAGTAAGTAATAGTTGTAGTTGTTAGAGCAGTAGTAATTGTAGTAACAGTAGTTGTAGTAGTAGTAGCTGTTGTTGCCATTATAGTAGTTGTTATAGTAGCAGTAGTAGTAGTAATAGTTGCTGTTATCGTAATAGTCGTGGCAGTAGTAGTAGTACTAGTAGTATTAGATATAGCAGTAATACTAGTTATAGTAGTAATAGTAGTAGCGGCAGTAGTAGATGTTGTAGTAGTTTAAGTAGTAACAACAATAACACCACCAGTAATGACATCACTAATGAAGTAGGTTAGTAATAATAGAGGTAGTTATATTACTAGTTGTTGTAGTTATATTAGTAGCAGTAGTAGTTAGTTGTGTTAGTAGTTAGTTACTCTGGTCGTAGTAGTAGTAGTAGTTAGTGGTTTGTTGTTGTTATTATTTTGTTATTTGAGCTCTGTGATGCCACGTCTCTACTGTCAACAACCTCAGAGCATCAACAGACCACAGTGTGGTTGAGGATCTGGATCGAGCAGTAAAACAGCTCCGATTGGTTTTATTGTGCTTTATTCATTTTAATCTCAGTTTGCCTCCTTAGATGTTCCACCTAAACTATTGTAAGGGAACCCTGGAGTCACATCCAAAGCTACGCCCGACTCAGTTCTGATCGGTTAAAGACACACAAACTAGTCAGAGTTTTATCTCCGACAGCAAAACTTGCCTGAATTAGAAACCTATGTGATAAGAAACGTCTCCGTTGGATTCTTACCGCCAGTGTTTCTCCACACGTCGACTCAGGGCGATCTTCTCTCCCACCTCTGTGCACACGGGGTTGGTGAGGACGATCTTGGCCAGATCGGCCTTGACGGCGCTGACGCGGCCGCCGGTCGACAGCGAGCCGATGTTGACCATCAGCACCTCGTTCTTGGACAACTTCTGGACCTGCAGACGGAGGAAACGTTCAGACCAAACATAAGTCCAGGAGCTGCAGACACGCAGCGGTTTACAGTCGGGACTACATCTCCCACGATGCACGGCGGCCTCACCTTGGCAGCCTTCTTGTCTCCCTCTGTGCGGACTCCCAGCAGCCTCCTGAGCAGGAAGTAGGAGATTTCCAGCTCGGTGAAGATCTCTGGCAGCGCTCCGACGGCTCCCAGCACCTGACCGACCATACGGTCCGCTCGGCACAGCGTCGGGTCGATCTTGGTGCCCACACCTGCACGGTAAACACTTATTCAGCGTTTTCTCTTCCTCTACAACTGTTCTACACATTAACACTCAACACTCTTACATCTGTGTGGCGGCTGGTTTTTAACTTTTGCTGGATGAGGCTTTTTTAACTTCTGGAGCAGCTGGAGTGTTTCTTACCGATGAGGCCTCCCGGTGCGGCGTACTGCAGGTCGTTGTGCTCAGCGAACAGAGACACGATCTTGGAGAAGATGGGTTTGCACATCAGCTTCCCCTCCTGGTCTTTGGACACGATGCCGGGTCGCACCTCGATCTCCTGACCCACCTGCAGCTCACACAGACGGATCCACCGTTCAGACTAGATCACACTCGTATGCGGTGGACAGTTAGAGCCGAGCCGGCCTCTTACGGAGCCTCACCTTGAGCACCCCCTTCAGGATGCTTCCTCCGGCCACGCCTCCTTTCAGGTCGTCGACTTCACAGCCGGGTTTGTTCACGTCGAAAGATCTGATGACTGAAACGTGGAAGATACAGGACGTGAAAACACAGAAACGTAAGCAGCAGATGAAGAGGCGACGAGCGGCCGTTTTCTCACCGATGAGCCGGGGCTCGGAGATGAAGTCTCTGACGGGCACCGGGATCTTTTTGACGATGTACTCGCAAACCACCTCGATGTTGTACTTGAGCTGGGCGGAGATGGGAATGATGGGAGCGCCCTCGGCCACCGTGCCTGCAGGAGAAAACAGCGAGTTTTTACAGCCGTTGTTACCAAAGAGTCGACATTTATCCCATCGGAGTTCACTGACCGGACGTTTTACCACCATGGAGAAACCTGTGACACATTATGCAGCTTGGGAGGCAACTTTAAAAAAGCCAAACAGACCTCAAACTAAACTCCAATTAAAGTTCGACGAAAGACGTATTTTGTGCTGCAGGTTGTTTGTGCTCACACAGATGGACAGGTGACATCTCCACCCAGATTTAAACTGTGGTGTTGGGTTTCTGTTAGATCTGCTCCTCCAGAGGTCGGGCTGACGTGGACTCACCCTGTACGAAGGCGAGGATCTGCTCGTACTGCTCCTTGGCCTGGCTCTCCTTCACCAGGTCGATCTTGTTCTGCAGGATGAGGATGTGCTTCAGCTTCATGATCTCGATGGCAGCCAGATGTTCAGACGTCTGCGGCTGAGGACACGACTCGTTCCCCGCTGGTGAAACAAAAACAAGACATTTTAATGATGCATTACGTCTGAGCTTTGCTAAAAAAAAACAAAAAAACATGCTTCCTCACTAAACACAAAGTTAATCTGCCTCTGCTTCATTGAGTCTATTAACTTTTTAAGCAAACGTGGTTTCTCCTGTCACTAGCAGAGGCTGACATCAGGTCTTGTCTAGTTTCTGGAGTCTTTTCTCTTTGTTTACAATGAAAATGACCACAGCCATGTTGGAGATTTCCTGCATACTTGTGCTTTTCTTTAATTTGGCCCTTTAGAGACAGTGTCACTGTTTAAGTATGATGAAACTCTAAACAAGAAAGTCATCACAGAACATTAACCTTCTAAAGCCGTGGAAGCATCCTTTAAATCATGAGTTTAATCTGTTTCCTGAGTCGTGACACAAACCGATAAGAGATCATTTATTCCATCGGTTTTATTTAATCAAATGTGATTTGTCCTGTTACCAGCAGGGGCTGAGATGACATCTTCTCACCATTTTCAGTGAAATTTACAGCAGAAATGCTGCCGTTTGCCTCCTAACTTGTTGAATTATCTGTCAACATCACACCAGATAAACCGAAGCTCGTCTTCCAATTAAACACTCACCAATAAGCAGGAGGGCTGCGTCCATGACGGCTGCTCCGTTCAACATGGTGGCCATCAAAATGTCGTGACCGGGACAATCCACAAAGGACACGTGTCTGAGGGAAGGAGGACGACTCATTAAAACGAACAGTTTGGTTGATTAAAAAAAGCCAGAAGTTAGTGACAGCGAGTCGACAAATATCTGAGAATCAGTCCAAGACACTGAAGACATTTAGTTTACATCACAAAGGAGGAAAAAAAGAAAAATGTTTGCACGTGTGAAGCTGTAAGCAGACTTAAAAAGGAACGGAAGTCAAGAATCTGAAAGGAGTCCAGCTTCTAGGATCGCCATGACAACAGCCTCTGCCTAGATGAACCAGTGCTGTCTCTCTCCGTTCTTACCGGACCAGTTTGAAGTGGCCCTTGGTGCCGGGGATGTCTGTGGGAAACTCATCCGGAGTGCTGCTGCCACATGACCGGTAGCACTCGGGCCGGGGACAGCTGGGGTCGTCCAGCTTATAGACCTGCAGCAGGGAAGACGTGATGGAAATGATGTGACTCTAATCTGCTGCATTAACCTCCAACGACGAGCAGAGCTGCTTTCAAACAGTCAACACGTCTGAGTTAAAAGGCTTCATGTAAACAGAATGACGCACATTAAAGCAGAAGCTTGTCGTCAGCTCGTATCATCCGTCTGAAAACGCAGCAGATAAACTTTGTATTCCTTTTGCTTGCCTCAAGTTGAGCAAAAACGTCACTACTCTACTAAAATCTCTTATCTGCACAAAGATGTTTTGTTTGATTATCGCTGTTTTATTCATGAACTTATCGAGTCTCTAAGTTTTATTCTGGTTGGAAAACTTCTCTTCTACTTTGGTGCAGTTTGAATTTCTGTTGACGGTCAAGTTTTACCATCTTGGATCAACGTTTGCTGATGTGACTTGAGGTAAAAAATAAATAAGTACAGTTCATGATGCTGTTTTTATATGAAGATATAACAACATATTGTGATATACTTTTAGGTTTCGACAGAGAAATGCTGTGGCGGTCGGTAGGTTTTGATTGGTTGGTTTATGAACGCTGGCTGCAAAAGCTCCAAATCAATCACTTACTTCTGTTGCTTAAAGTCAAAAAGTGCACAGAGCAAAGGGGCCTCCAGGGGTTTATCCAAAACCAAAGAAAAGCCCCGAAGTCGAGTCAAAGAGGCAGCAGGATTCCCCTCAGAAACAAATCAACGCTCTCACCTTAGCGTTAGCATATCCTAGCTTGATGGTGATGTTCCTCTCCAGCTCGTTCTTGAACCTGACGGTGTGCACACCAGAAATGGCCTTCACTACTGTGGACTTTCCGTGGGCCACATGACCGATGGTGCCTGAAAAAAAAACAAAAAAACAAAGGCAGAGGTTTAAAACAGGCCTTTGTTTCCTTTATTAACTTCCAGATCCGATCAGCTGTTGATTTGTTCTCGTACCAATATTGATGGTGGCCTGTCTGCTGATGATCTCTGGAGAGAGAGGCGTCAAGGTCGACACGTCCTGGAAGAGAGAAACTCACTTTAGACGGGACACGAGCTAAAAACAAAACACGAGCGTTCACCGTGTGCAGAGGAGCGCTGCCTCGATCGGTTTAATCCTGGAGGTGAATGGGAACAAAGGGAGGCAGCACAGACATTTAAACAATGAGCCATGATAACAGCTCCTGTACTGTAGTAGGTTCACGTGAAACACTGCTGCTGGCTGTCAGAGCATGTTAACAGGTATGCTTGTGGGTGTTGCATTGTTGTAGTATGAAATAGGGCTGCACAGTCAGCACAAACACATTTTATTGCAATTATTCTGTTAGATAATGTGATGAGTCATGATTTTTTGGGTTTATTTGTGTAATTAGTATATATTCTTTTGCATGCTGGTTTTTGCTGCAATCTGCACCTGACTATACGTTCCCTGGTGTGTTTATAATATGATTTGCAGGCCAAGCATCTCTACAGAACAACAAATCTTTATTTATAATAATAATAATGTACATCAGTTTATCACTTGCAGCTCCCACATTTGAGATATCGCACCTGTGATTTGGATAGTATTTTGAATAATTGTTCAGCCCTCATGTAAACTGACAGTTTCCATCTGCCAGCTTTGTGTTCAGGACAAAGATCGACAGCTGAGCCGCAACCAAAACATCAAATCTTTGGTCAGAATAATAATCCAGACTAAGATCACACAGGTCGAGGATGTTGCCATTAAAATATATATATATAGCTTCACAATGACTACCAAATGGTACAAGGTACAGACACGTGCTGTCAAACTGAATTTTTTTTCTGTTTATGTTGCATTACTTCTACTTTATCTCATAATCTAGAGCTACCACACCTTATATTATGAAGTTTATCACTACAAAATGAATGTTCTGGGTTATTCTGCTGTCTTTCTAGTGCTGTCAAGGTTTTACCCTCAATAAAAACATCTGTAATTCTTCATTTAAACAACCACATGACACTATGCTGAAGGTACCAAGCTCCTAATTAGGCGGCTTATTGTTTATAAGTTCCATCCTGAGTTATTGAATGAAGCTAATGTTAAACGGAAGCTTCCTGAGCATCACAGCCCAACATGAATGAATGGATTTATAAACTGGTCGCATTAATCTGATGTTACCAGACGGTTGGAAGTTTATAAATACGGTTTCATCTTAAGCTGCATCATCGCCTTTACGAACCCCGTTGATTTTACAGCACAGAAAGTGATGCTAATGTTCGGTTTAAACGGTGATAAACACATTTCTGACGACTAATGCGGCGGTAAGAGAACATAACAAAGAATAAAACGTTTGTCTAGTTTTAAAATGTCACAATTAAAAATTTAAAAAAGCATAAAATAAGAGAGTAAATCCGTGCCAGAGGGGAAGCGGGTTTGCTAGCTCTCCGCCCCGCCGGGCCTGCCGTCATGTGCCGGGTGGCGGCGACGCAGCGCCGGTGACCGTTAACGGGAATATCCCCCGTCTTTCCCGGGGCCGTTTTGGCGACACGACGGACCGACAGCCACCGGCACACGAGAACGACGCCGTAAACGCGGTTAAACGGACACTCACCAGAGAACTGAGGTCTTGTTTGGCCAGATGAGGCTGACCAAGCGTTGTGCCAGACTCGTCGCCCGCCATCTTGAATGAGAAAGGAACAGAGGAGGCGGCTGCGGCGAATGCCTGATCAACCGGCGGAACCGTCGCTCAAAAAATCAGTTATTAAATCAAACACTTTACTTCTTGTAGGATTAACATTAAGCGTTACAGCTTCACAAAAATACGCGTGGTATTAATTTATTTTCGCTGCAGCTATAATTCGCAACTCGCGTGATTCACCCAAGTAACAGCAGCGGGGTCCTTTTTCAACGGCTGATGCAATTTATTTCTACTGTGAACGAGAATTCCCGTAATATTCACAAGCTGCTGCTTTTTAAACTTAACTAACAACTGTTTACAACCGAGAGGGGCACATGTCTACACTGGCTTCTCCTCCTCTAAAAAAATTAAGCAATATATTCTTCCCCATGTGTCAGGTCCGTCGGTGCTTAGTGACGCCACAACACGGTGAGATGACGTTTTGTAGTCCTTTAATGTGGTTTGTAGTTTTGTAAAGTGAGATTGAATTGCTTTTTATTTTTCTTTATAAATTTCGTCATTTTTACGATTAACGAAACTAAACTATCATTAACTAAATCCAAATACATATGAGGACACGGATTTTCAAAGCACAATGTCAACTGAAATAGCTGATTTTTTTTTGCAGACAAAATCTGGTGCTACTTTTGCAACAGAGAAGTTAATAAGCCTGTAATTAATGGGTTTATTCAAGGTTGCTACATTATTTATTAATTGTTCAGGCTGTGGATAATTTATAACCAGGGTTACATTACATAGAATAGACTGTCAGCAACAAGTTGTGTGGTCCCTTTAAGTGTCTTTGTAGTTTTTAATAAATTTGTGATAGTTTTTCTAATCTTTGCAGACATTTGAGTCCCTTTGTGATCACTGCTGCTACTGCTAATACTATGAATACTATTGCTGCTGCTATCACTACTAAAAAGCCACTGATTACTGTGAGTGTTGTTGTGATTGGTTCGAGTCTCCTTGTGGTGATTTTTCAAGTCTCTTTGTGTTTTTGTATTTTTTGTTTGTTCGGTTTGAATCTGCTTTTGGTCATTTTGCATCTCTGCAGTTGTTTCACGTCTGTTTGTGGTGATTTTGTGTCTCTTTGCAGCCCATTTTAATCTCTCTGTCGCCATCTCTTCACCATGATATCACATCTTTACAGCCATATCTTCATGTATTCGTAGCCTTTTGATTAACTTTCTAATAATAAATGTTCAGAGCAACTTTGAGTGTGTAGCGGTAGCTGCAGGCCCAATGTTTTAGTTGCAGGTTGCTTTCCTTCATGCATGATGCTTTTAGGTCTCTACAAAAATAATTTATTCATTGTTATTTACATTGACAGTTTATGAATTATACTACCGAACAGCAGGTAAATGATTTGCTCTTTAATTATTTAAATGTTAATTTCAATTTTAAATAATAACCTCCCAGTCTCTCGCTGGTTGATTTTGGGTGTTTGTGATTGTTTTGCATCTCCTCTGCTATTTTTGTAAACTTGTTGGAGTCTTTTGATTCACAAGAAATGTCAACAGCAACTTTGACTTTGTGGAAAATGACTTTTATTGTCCTTTTTAGATGTCTTACCAAAATGTGTTTATCAATGCTTATTTACACAGACAACTATTGATTTAAACAACCCAGCAGCTCATATGCAGGCAGAGGAGTTTCTCTTTAATTATTTAAATGTTAATTTCTTTTTAAATCAATCACCTCTCAGCCTCTCTGTGGCTGATTTTGAGCATTTGTGGTTGTTTTGCAGCTCTTTGCATCTCATCTGCTATTTTTTAAAATCTCATTAGGGCCTTTGATGAACTTTTAACAAGAAATGTTAACGATCACTGTGATTTTATAGAAATGGAGGCAGAGTTTATGTTAAAATTACTTTTATTGTTTTTTAGATCTCTATTAAATGTGTTTTTTAATGCATCATTATCACAAAAAATACGTGCAATTACCTTTTATGTTTTTAATATAATATTGACCGTTTACCTGTAGGTTTCGGTGTATTGGGTTTATTGTTCCGGTGGTAGTGACACATCCTGTGAGCAGACCACCTTCGCTGCGGCGCACAACGCCCTTCAGTTCCGCCCAGAAGGGAAATGACGCCGGTGCAGAAGATGGCGGCCGCAGAGCCTGTGGATCTCTGAGACTCGGTACCGTTAACTCGGAGCCGTGCGGGGGGTCTCTTCGTCTGGCAGATGGACGGTACTGACACCATGGCAGTGCACCGCTGCCCACCGCTCTCCTGATCCCGGAATCGAACCCGCAACTTCATGTCCGAAGGAGCCAGAGCTGCCTGGTCCAAGAGGGGTTGTGGGGATTCGCACCGCCGAGGTGAGACGGCTGGATTTAGCCGCTAAGCTAAAGCTGTTGCCCCGGCGGAGCAGGTGTCGGACCCCCCGTAGCTCCTGTCATCACAGCCGAGAGTCGTGACAGTTGATTTATCCGCCTGCTCGCCCGCCGCGGAGCCAAATATCGGAGTTTATTCCGTTTTCCTCCAACAAACGCTGCCAGCGAGCAGCTAGCATGGTCGGCTGTAGGAGCTGAGAGTGAGCCGCTAGTGGAGCCTTTGTTTTGGGCTTTAATCTCAGCTCGCGGCTCGCTCCCCTCTCTGCGGTGGGATAGAAACTAACGGGGCCGACGTTGGCGGGCTTTCTGAGCCGCTGCAGGGCTGCTCAGGTCGGCGTGAATGTGGTTCGAGCCGCGGTTAGCTCCTCTTTAGCCTTTAGCCCAACTCCTGTGCTGTTGTTGTCAGGACTGGGATGGAAGCGACACCGACACGCTCACAGCGAGCCTCCGAGCCAGCTGTGGCTCTGACTGAGCTCCAGCTGTGGGACGAGTTCGTCAGCAGGAGTTCAGGCTGTCAGGGGTCCAGTCAACCTGTTGTTGGTGCTGGTGTTCACCCAGAGGCAGGTCAGGCGCAGGGTCACACATCCTCAGCTCACATAGGTCCAGCGTTCACCCACAAGGACTCACCGAACCTCAACCAGGTCCAGCTACTTACCCTCCACAGTTCTGCTTTTACACCCAGAAGTTCTGCAGACTGGTGCTGACATGATGAGATGTGTTTGTCAGAGAAAAAGACCAGAACAACTGGATGGATTTCACAGCTGTTGGTTAAATTCAGTGACGGAAACTGAATCAAGCTGAAGAATAAATGACAAACTAACAGAGGAGAAGTACTTTATTAGTCCCTGATTGGTGATTACAGCACAAAGAGTGAAGTTAGCACCGCCATGAGTACTGAAAAATAAGTAAAAAAGAACAATAAGTAAAGATAAAATGCTAAATAAGTGCATCTACTAACCCTTCTACACCTCGAAGTTCTGATCCAACAGTTTGATGGATTTCACGGCTCAAATAAATCACTGCGGCGCCACTGAAGCTGCCTTATCGAGCTGATTCCTGGTAAATACGTCCTCGTCATAAACTGAACTTCATCTCACCTCCAGCAAGTTAACTTCCCCGTTTATGCTTTTAATTAGTCGTTCTATCTGATGCGATTATCAGACGAAAAAACAGAACTAAACAGTTTGATGGATTTCATGACCGTTGATCAAATTCAGTCCCTGCAGCTGAAGCTAGTGAAGGACGTACTGATGCAGAACTGCTGCTGGTTCCTGTTCAACATGTCCAGTTGCTCCTCAGTGGTCACCTCACCTCAGCTCAGCCTCCACAGTTCTGCTTTTGCTTCTAGAAGCTCTGTCGTGTTTAAATGGTCGACTGAAGCGGTGGTCGCCGTAGTAACGGATGCATCTGACTGGATGTGAAACCAGACGACGATGCGACTGGCTGCTGGTTCCTCACCCAGAGCCAGATCAGCCACCGGGTCAGACGTCCTCGTACGAAGCTCCGCTGTGAGATAATCGCTGAACTTCATCTCACCTCCGAGCAACTCCACGTCCACGTTTCTGTTCCTACTCCTGATCCAGCGGTAGTCGTAGTAATCGATGTATTCGTCAGAGAAAAAAGCACCAAACAGTTCGATGGATGTCCTGACTGGTGATCAATAAATAACTAAAACGAAGAGTCGTCAGCGCTGTAATGCAGAACTTCACAGACATTCACACTGATTCTGTGAAATATATCCTTTCTTTTTTACCCAGAAGTAGTCACAGAAGCTCGTCGTAGCTCTTCACGTCCACGTTTCTGTTTTTACTTCAAGAAGTTTAAACGATTCGTGGCTGAACTGAAGCGGTGACGGTCTGACGTCAGATCTAAATCACAGCACCTCCTCATCAGCTACGGCATCGTGTACGTTTAACGCTGACGATCTCGTTGCCGCCTTTTATTCATGACTTTTCAAAGAGACTGTCGGAGGAGACGTGTTATTAGAGCTGAAAGTGGTTTAAAACCAAGTGGGTTGTTGTCGCTCAGCTTGAAACCCTGACAGCCAGGTGACCAGACATGGGTTAGGCCGAGTCACGGACCAAAATCAAAATCAAATGAGCTCTCAGTTGGAAAAAAAAGTTTAAAACTAAACTTAATCCTTGTGAGGAAGCTGAACCCGAGTGCCTGATTTCAGAGTCTTAACTTAGTCAAATCTGAACCCACAGACTTTATTTCATATCTCAAGAACCATCCCTCAGTCTGCAGAACTCTCCTGACAATCACCACGTTTCTTCAGTTTCCTTTAGTCACAAAGTAAATCAGTGGTCTGTCCTTTAATGGCTTCACTGCTAACGGCTAATTAATTAATAGTGATAATTTGACAAATAAAACAGGAGACAGGCTGTCGTAGCTCACGGCGAGCTGACTCGTTGGCAGATGTAGTTTCAAAGATGCACAAAAGATGTTAACGGGAGCTTTAAAGTTTTTCACAGCTGTTTGTTCAAATGTCTTTTAATTTGTTTAGAAATCGGAGGAACAAATACGCTCCTAATAACTGCACAGCTCGCCTGAGAGTTACCACGTTTCTGGACTGATTTTCTGTTTTTAAGGAATGGTTGTCAGTTAGCATCTCGCTGCCAGCGCTGTACGAGCACACGACAAACAACGAACGCTCTTCATCCCTCCAGAGCTGAAACCAGCCACCGTTAACGGAAAATTAGTCGATTTTTATATCCAGTTCGAGGTTTATAATAATTTATTTGTGTGTTTGTGCTTCTCAGATGTGAGGATTTGTTAGTTTTCTTTTGTCACGAATGAGGTTTTGGAAGAAAACGTGCAATTTTTAAACATGATTGTGACATTTTTTCACCTGTTTTTGATATTTTCTAGACAGTTAATGAATTGAGAAGCTGATCTGCAGGCTCGTTATTAACAGGGCTGAAGTGTGATTCAGTTTGCTGTGTAATGGATTTAAAACATAGCAGAGCGTCACCACATGAGACACCATCAGTAGTGTAGCCGTCACACAAGGTCCGTTTTGTGTTTGTTATTTGCATTTTCTTCTAATTTGAAATCAATTCTGGCCCCTAAATGTTTGATCTCTTCATACACGCATCCCAAATGAAAGCATTTCTGTGAAACATGTCAAACAAAAGCTAAATGCGTGTTTTTTTTGTCCCAGATGTGAGTTTTTCAGCTGATATTAGCTCCTCTGTGCACTTTAAACAAACTGAGCTGTGATTCATGAACCGTCCGACTGCTCCGTGCTTGGTCTGATGATGTTCTTGTGTTCTCCTCGTCTAAAGCGTCTTTTTCTGTCTCTTCTGTTAGAACCAGGGAAACATAAACACAGGAAATGCGAGCGGCCCCTTAGCGCTCAGCCGTCAAAGCCTGTGATTGTTCGCCCGGGCTCCAAAAGGTACGACTTTCCCACTGCAACACTGAACGCTAGACACAAACAAACACGAGCTGCTTTCTGTGGCTGTTAGCTCCGTGTGACTCCTCCTGACCATCTGCTGCTGCTCAGGCCCTGTAGTCTGGGGTTGTTGGGGGTAGACGAGGGGTGAAAGGTCAGATCCTTCTGCCTGCAAAAACCCCCAGAGGGGCTGCAGCTTCCTCCTGCCAGACGCCCAGTCCTTAACGTTAGCTGCTGCCCTGTAGCTGAGCTAGTGGTGGAAACAGACTGTAGCGTAGCATTAAAATGACCTGAGACAGCGCGGAAAGTTTTATTCTGTCACGTAAGTAGTGGTGCTAACTTACAGACAGGAAACATGCAAAATAAGCTTTTTGTAGCAGATGCAGCAAACAGCTAGTTTCCATTAGCATCCCCCAATAAGCTGGTAATAAAAGATAAAAACATGTAATTAAATGAGACATTATGCTTAGAAAAGAACAAAGAAAAGGAAGTTAATAAGAGGTAGTTGGTTTTTTTAATTGTTTTTATCAAAATTGGAAGAAATTATTCAAGTTATTTAATGTTGTTATTACTAGTAGAAGGTTGCTATGCTAGCTGTGTCAATGGACTTCACTTAAAGTTGATTTATTATAATAATAATACTTCTATAGCGCTTTTTTAAGCCAAAGGGCCTCTGAAGACCCCAAACAGATCCTACTTTTGCACCACAAAATATGCAATAAACAAGACGTACAAAAACAGAAAGACACAAACATCCCATTACTTATTAGTGAGATTCTAATTATTATTATTATTATTATTATTATTATTATTATTATTATTATTATTATTATTATTATTATTATTATTATTAATAAGTCCGACTTTTCTGTCCCACTCCTGGATTAGTTTTTCTTGCCAGTATCCACATAATTCAAAGTAGTTTGTGTTTGTCAGATTAAATTAAACTCATGTGGGTGTTTAGTGCAGATGAATTCTGTTTCGTCCACTCGCTGTGATAAACCGTAGCTGCAGCTGATGTTTCTTTCTTGACACTGAGACGGGTCACGATGCTGATTTTCACTGCAGTTATTATTGTTTTGCCACATTTTGATGACATAAACAACACGGTCAAAAGTTTGTGGACACCGGATGGCGGCGCTCTGCGGCCCGAGCGTCCGCATACTTCTGGCCGTGCGACTCCAGATGTTCATGCTTTAATGTGGCGGTTGTGTTGGCTTTGTCGTCCAGGTGATTGACGCTCAGAAAAGGGACTTTGTTAGCATCTACTGGACACAAGGGGCACTGTCCTCTGATTGGCTCGGACAACCCCCTCTGACATGCCCGTGGCCAATCAGAGGTGAGTGTGCTGTGTGTGTGTGTGTGTGTGTTTACGTTGTGTAAAAGCGATGATGATGTGTTTGTTTTCTCGTGTGTTTATTTTCTCACTGCATCTGTGTGGTTATGTGTGAGCATGGCCGTGGGTGTCGTCTGTGCACAGTTCCCTTCTTTCTCTTTCTGTTCCGCCGGTGACGGTGTTGCCGTGCAGCGCGGTGTTTCCCCAGCGTGTCAGCGCGCCGCACGTTTGGCTGTGAAAGAGTAACGGCTTGTTGGGATGCAGCAGCCAAAGTGCTGAGCTTTTAATGCTGAGCGTCCTATTGAATGCCCTTCCAGCCCCTGACTGACTGTTTTCAGCAGAGCTCACACAATCATACTTTTTTTTTTCCCCTCAGAGAGACTTAACGTCTTTGTGCTGAGTTCTTTTATTTATTTCCCCCCCGTGTCCACCTCGTCTTTATGTTGGCACTGAACCGGCCGCGGCTCCGTTTTCTGAACTCTGCCTCCTTCCTCTCCTTGGCGCCTCCAGGTGTGTTATGTCGGGGGCGGATGTGGAGGTGTACCTGTCCCAGGTGCACGATGGGAGCGTGTCGTCGGGCTTCCGGGCGCTGTACGAGGAGCGCCTGCTGCTGGACGTCACGCTGTTGATAGAGGAGCACCACTTCCAGGTACACAAACACAAACACAACACACAACACACACACACACACACACACACACACAGCTGTCCACCGTATAAAAACACACAGAACCTGTCTGACATTAAATCAGACTAAACGTTTCCTGTTTCAGCTCAGTCAGGATCACCAACATTATTTCTATTTGCTAAACACCAGAATAATGAGAGAGAGGATTTATTCTGACTTTCTTCAGAGTCAGAGGTTTACATACAGCATTGCCTTCAAACTGTATGAGTTCAAACGCTTCGTGCACACAACTTCTGCTGGAATATTACAGCATAAATATCCCACAATGCAGTGCAGCAGAGAGCCGCCAAAGCAGCTCGACTCAAACATCCAATCAGATAAAGGTTTGGCTTTTCCTCCCGAGATGAAAACAAAGTCTGAATCAGGCGAGCAGGCGCCGGTCGAGGAAACAGAAATCAGGAATTCAGGAAATGACATGTTGTTACTGCTCAGATAGTAACGGTTTCCAGTTTGTAGGATATAGTTCTGGATTTCAGTGACAGCCTGATGATTACAGCAACAACACGGCTTCTCCCAGGAGTCCTCAGGAAGACTGCAGGAAAACATAAACCTGCTGGATGATGGGAAACCTCCACAGCATCTTTGAAGTTGGAAAAAGCAAAATCAGCCAAGTTTAAAGTAACACACAGGAAGGTTTAATCTGTTAAAGTCCACAAAGAGCAGGAAGAGGCTTTTCTCTGTGAGGACAAGAGATGCTTTTGGTACTTTAGAGCCACCTGACGTCGTCGTTTCCACTTAAATGCGTCAGTAAAACCTAACCCTCACCCAGCATGTCAGTGTTTGGATCTAGCAAGCAAAAAGACACAACTACTAATTTACTAATTCTCGTCTGTGTGGTGTTTCCTTCCTCCTCCAGGCCCACAAGGCGCTCCTGGCCACCCAGAGCGACTACTTCCGGGTCATGTTCACAGCAGACATGAGGGAGCGGGACCAGGACAAGATCCACATGAAGGGGCTGACGGCCGCTGGCTTCGGCCACATCCTCCGCTTCATGTACTACGGCTCGCTGGAGCTCAGCATGCCCACCGTGCAGGAGATCCTGCAGGTAACCCGCTGCTTTATGTAAACGTCTGCATTTAAACGAGAGCCGGTGGGGACGCTCTGACCCCTCGCTGTCCCCCCGCAGGCGGCCATGTACGTCCAGCTGACGGAGGCGGTGGAGTTCTGCTGCTCCTTCCTGCTGGCCAAGATCTGCCTGGAGAACTGCGCCGAGGTCATGCGCCTCCTGGAGGACTTCAGCGTGGGCGTGGAGGGCGTCCAGGAGCAGCTCGACAACTTCCTGCTCGACAACTTCGTCCCCCTCATGAGCCGACCAGACTTTCTGTCCTACCTCAGCCTTGAACGACTGCAGGTTCGTCTGTGCAGATTATAAATACACTCACACAGCTTTAGCGTCTTTGTCTAATTTACTCGAATCGCTGTGAGACATTTCCTCTGGTCTGACTCACCAGATGTAGGATGTGAATGTAAACCTGCCATCAGCTCCTCAGTTTAGTCAACTTTTGTCTTCCCGTTTCACCACCTGCTCGCTACCGTTTTCTTTTGTGTGTGGTTGTGTGGGTGCAAATCTTCCACCAAAACAATTCTACCGTCACTGTTTTCCATTTTCCTTTGCCGTTCTACGCCCACGTCGACGAACTTAAAGAATTACAAACAAGCCTGAATGTTTTCTACTAGATGCTGATGGTTCAACTCGACCAAGACAACGACTGAGGCCATTCCCTCCCTCTCCGTGTCCTCTTCCAGTGTCTTCTCCGATCTTATATTAACGTGAAATCCACCAACATGGTGGTTCATCCTTTGGTGTCGTTGTTTTGGTGACGTCGCGTCAGACGCTGTAACGAAATGATTACGTCGCTTCAGTCCAGAGGATCCTAAACCAGCAAGACAAGGAACAAGAAAACATGAGCAAAGCTTCCAAAAAACATTAAATAGGCCAATAAAACATTAGAAAAGACAACAAAACATTAAAAAAGCTACCATAGCTGAATAAAGAAGACACAATAAAACATTACAACAAAGATAATAAGCATTAAAAAAGACAACAAAACATTAAAAAAAGAGACGATAAAACATTGGAAAAGAACATAAACATTATAAAATAACGATAAAACATTAGAAAAGTAAAAATAAACATTAAAAAATATCAATAAAACATTAGAAACAACAAAATGGAACAAAAGACGATAAAACTATTTTTTTTTAAGCTACCACTAAACATCAGAAAAGACCATCAACAGTATAACACAACAAATAAACATTAAAAAAAGACGATCCAGTGTGATAAACAACAATATTAAATCCACAAACTATAATCTTTACACATTTTAAAGCTAAAAAAATCTGGCAAAGTTCTTTTTCTTCCTCCAAACGTCAGATTTCTACGGTGGCCCTGAGAGGTCAAAGCAGTTCAACTGGAGAAAACACATGGACGGAAATATAAGAAAATATCTTCACTAGTTCAAAAAAAAACAAACTTAAAACTGAAATCAGAGATAATCTGCTGGTAGCACAGACGAGAATCTGAACGCGACCGTGCTGGTGTCTTTGCTGTGGCGACCCCTGAAGGGCTGAACGGCGTCCTGAGGAGTTTATGGGCTTTGTGTGGGACATCTGAGGCTGATGAATGAAGCTTCTGGAGCAGCGGTAGTCTCACCTGCGCTTTCTCTCCGTGACCCAGGCGTACCTGAACAGCGACGCTCTGAGCCGCTTCCCGGAGATCGAGCTGTACGAGGCGGTGCAGGCGTGGCTGCGACACGACCGGCGGCGCTGGAGGCACACGGACACCATCGTGCAGTCCATCCGCTTCTGTCTCATGACGCCCGCCAACATCTTCGAGAAAGTGAGTGAAGCTTCGACCATGAATGTGTGACTGATGGCAGCAGGACTCCACCCACCCAGAGCTGCTTTTGTTGATTTAATTTGTTTTTCTGCTGTTTAGTTTCATGACTGGATATCATTCTGCTGAACTTCTCTGGTGTTTATTGATTAAAACTGTCGTCTTTGTGTAATTTAGGTCCTTTTTTTTGCGTGTATGAGCTCAGTGGCTTCATGAACGTGTGTTGTAACGTTGAGGATTTAGTTTTTCTGCTCCGAGGTTCGTTTAATCCAAGATACACAGAAGTAAAGACACAAAACATAGCTCCTGAGCCCCAGGCTGATAGTCGGTGCTACCAATGGGCAAAGAGGGAGGAAACATGATTTATAATTTGCCATTTACTGATTATTTTTGGTGCAATGAAAGGAAAAAGAGCTCCAGAAGTTCCTGCAGGTTAAGCTGATTGAACTAAGTTCTTCTGCAGCTGATAGACTCGCTGTAAACACGTCAACCAGTCGCTAACCGAGCAGCATCCAGCCTCCAAACTACCCACAATCCAACGCTCTCTGTAGAAGACTGCATAGAAAACTGGTGACGACTTTTTGCTCTTCCGTCCTCGTCTCAGGTGAAGACGTCTGAGTTCTACCGCTACTCCAGACAGCTGAGGCAGGAGGTGGACCAGGCGCTCAGCTACTTCCACGATGTCAACCAGCAGCCTCTGGTGGAGACGCGCTCCAACCGAATCCGCTCCGTCCGACCTCAGACTGCCGTCTTCAGGGGCATGATCGGCCACAGCATGGTCAACAGCAAGATCCTGCTGCTGCAGCGTCCAAAGGTGGCCGCTGCTTTATTCTGCTGTTTTACATTTAGCAGAGATAGTTCTTGTAGTTCATATGCTGATGGTTGGATTACTGCTTCTGAATCTACTTTACGACCTCTGATCTGAGCAGAAATGTTAATATTTGTAGTTTTTAAGCTTCTAAAATGTGAGGATTTCATGCTTTTCTTTGCCACACATGGTGGCAAAATAGAAATCTTTGGATTGTAGCCAAACTTACCAGGACATTTGAGTACGTCTGCCTAAATTACAGCAGATATTTTTTAATTATTATAGTTATTTTGTAGGCAGAAGGATTACTTGATTAGCCAATAATCAGCCGATAAGTCCTTTGAGCTCCAACCACTTTTTTTGTACGTTTTCTCCTCCTGTCACATTTAACTCGCTGTCAGGCTCATGTCTCTGCAACATGAAGTCCTGCAGCTCTCTGGAAGCAGAACCATGAAGAAGAACTCAGAAACGTCATCAGAGCAGAACGATGCAGTTATGACAGAAATCATAAAACTTATTTTACAGAAACTGAAAAACTCTGGGCTGAACATGTAGAACATCTTTTGAAGAGCCCACAGGTGTGACTGGAAAACAATGGTGACTCTACCTACTATAGATATATTACTATTTACATTTTAAATTTGTGTTCCAGCTGTTTTCATTTGTATAAACACTGCCTGCAGTTCAACCTAAAAGTCCCTGAATTCTTCTCACATGACTGTTGGTCACAGCTGAGTCAGATTGTGGCACAGATGCTGTATTTTTGGAATTTTTTAATGGCTTTTAAAAGGATTTTGGTGAAATATCAGGATTTTACATTTACATTTGTTCATTTTTCCCTTTGGAGCCACACGTCATGCCTCCAAAAACCACCTGAAAGTTAAAAAATCCACCTACTCTTTGTGTTTTTCTGGTTCGTTGTTTCGATAAACGGTGTCATTTTGTTGGTTTTTAAAACAAAGACAGCCTGACTTTCAAACCCAGCAGTGGATTTGGGGAGTCGGAGGGTTCAATCTTGCAGGAACATGATTCCTTTACATCAGAAGCTCTGGGAGCTTTTTGGAATTTGAACAAATCATCAGTGAAGCATCACGTTGGGCAGAGTTCAGCGTGATTTAGACTGACGTTTAGTTCAAGGACCGTCAGAAAGTTCAAAATCCGATTATCTCTGGCTCTGATAAATAGTTTTTTTTCTTTCAAACTCTGGTTAATCTGATGAGTTCTGATTCGTACCTTGAAGTCGTTTGCCGTTGCTAACTGGTTCTGCTGTCGCTCAGGTGTGGTGGGAGCTGGAGGGGCCTCAGGTGCCGCTGCGACCCGACTGCCTGGCCATCGTCAACAACTTTGCCTTCCTGCTGGGCGGAGAGGAGCTCGGACCCGACGGAGAGTTTCACGCCTCCTCCAAAGTCTACCGCTACGACCCCCGACAGAACTCGTGGCTACGCATGGCGGACATGTCTGTGCCCAGGTGAGAGCCGCCCGACGTTCTGGCTTCACACTCGGGTCGACCGATGTGGGTTTCCCAGGGCCGATACCGATGCCTGGAGATCGAGGCTGATGTTTGGAACCGATATGCATGACACATAATGTTTTAACGGCATGTGATCACAGCGACCTGTTATGCTAAACAGAAATATCTGAAATGATCGTTTATGTGAGATGGATCAGCCCGTCTCCTGCTGTTCTTCTCTGTTCTGTCATTTTTGTTGCCCACTAAGGTCCAGATCTTAATATTAATTGTTGTTTTCCAGACTCTGTTTCAGGTTAATCTGTGACTGCTTCTAGCTTAGCCGCTAGCCGTTAGCGTAGCCGTAGCCACTGTGCATTGTGAGGGAAGCTAACTTCCTGGTTTGTGGCAGCAGTTTGTGTTTCTTGTTCAGTTTTTGCTGCTTGAGGCACATTTATGAGACCACAGAGCGAGAGGAGCTGTGTCAGACTTGATCAATAATCAATAATCAGTCCATCTCTAGTTCTTGCAGTGTTTCTTCTTCTGTGTGTTTTTGTGAGTTTGTTGTGACGTTATGCTGATTTCAAGGTGATTTGTTTTCCTTCCTCTAACACATTATCCACTGATGCGTATTCATGATGCGTGTTGTTTGCAGGTCAGAGTTTGCCGTCGGCGTCATCGGCAAGTTTATCTACGCCGTGGCGGGCCGCACGCGAGACGAGACCTTCTACTCGACGGAGCGCTACGACATCACGGAGGACCGCTGGGAGTTCGTGGACCCGTATCCCGTCAACAAGTACGGTCACGAGGGGACGGTTCTGAACGGCAAACTGTACATCACGGGCGGCATCACCTCCTCCTCCACCTCCAAACAGGTGTGCGTGTTCGATCCGGGGCGGGAGGCTGGAGGAGGCGGGGGCGGCGGCGGGAGCTCGGCCGGGTCGGACTCTCACAGGACACGCGCCGGCCGCGGCCCGCTGCTGCCCGGCACTCACGCCAGCTGCTGGGAGAACAAATCTAAAATGAACTACGCACGCTGCTTCCACAAGATGATCTCCCACAACGGGAAGCTGTACGTGTTCGGAGGCGTGTGCGTGATCCTGCGGGCGTCCTTCGAGTCGCAGGGCTGCCCGTCCACCGAGGTGTACGACCCAGAGACTGACGAGTGGACCATCCTCGCCTCCATGCCCATCGGGCGCAGCGGCCACGGGGTGGCGGTGTTGGACAGGCAGATCATGGTGCTGGGCGGTCTGTGTTACAACGGCCACTACAGTGACTCCATCCTCACCTTCGACCCCGACGAGAACAAGTGGAAGGAGGACGAGTATCCCAGGATGCCTTGCAAACTGGACGGTCTGCAGGTGTGCAGTCTGCACTTCCCAGAGTATGTGCTAGAGCACGTGAGACGCTGCAGCTGAGGTCTGCTCCACAACACGCCTCCTTTTATAGAAATGGGAATGCACTGTTCAAAGACTGAGGTCTCCCGCTGGGGGTTCAGGTGTTTACAGGTGGGAGACTCGACTGACGCGCAGGCTTTTAACCTAGAGACCAGCACTTACCTTCAGGTGAGGAAAACATGGCTGGGGCCATAGAGTTGCTCTTCTTAGTGAAGGCAATGGAAGCGTGGCGACGCGTCACACGTTAACGGTCAGCTTGAACATTTTCAGAATTAGCTTTCTCAGAAAATTAAGGAAAAATAATGGTGGGGAGAAAAAAAGGTTTCATTCTGCCGGTTTCTGTTCGGACTGTGGTCGGTTTCCTGTTCTACTACTCACCTTCTGGACTTTAGGCTGTTCAGTCAGGCCGATTGCAGAAACGCACTGGAAGCGTCACATTCATACGATACGTCCACCTGTCAGACTCACCTGCTCCACACATCCTACTCAGACTAGGTTCCTCACATATAAAGATCCTGTGTATCTTTGCCCAATAGATTAGTGAAAGCAAAGACTGTTTCACACACTCAGAATGCCCGATAAGGTATATAACAGCAAGCTTACAATCAGGTATTTAACAAAGTATAACACTATATACTGTAGTGTAGTTCATTCTATAGCCTCTCCAAGTATACCACTGTAGAGACCATCAACGGATGTTATGACGATGTTCCAGATGCTGCTGATGCTTACATCTGCTTCCGGCTCTAAACGGTCACTTTATAAAGTCATAGATTCAGTTCTCGCTTCCAGTGCGTTCCAGCTTTTAGTCCAAATTCTGCTCTTTGCTTCCAGATATCCACCAAACTGTGCTCATGTTCGTTCAGCTCGACATCGCCGTGTCTCTGTGCCCCTTCGTCCCTCCTCAGTCTCAGTTTGAGAGTAAATGTGTGTGTTTGGGTTCGTTCTTCATTTACTAAACTGATGATGGTGACGACGTCAGACGCCACAGTTTAGGAAACAGAGGTTTTCATTTCAGAGCAGCAGTGCTTCACTCGCCCTCGTCTACATTCCCTGCACTTTACTGGTTCCGATTGTGTGTGAATGCACAGTTTTACCAGCTTCCACCCTGTCAGCAGCCCAAGTATTACCACATGCTGTGGTGTTGGAGGCTTTCAACAGTGTCTGAAATGAACTTTCTGACTGTCTAGATGAGCTCAACTAATAAATACGAGGCAAGAGTAAACATTAAGGAACACTGGACCTCATGCAAGAACGTTTTCATGCAGTCCGATGATATAACCTGAAACAATTAGAAAATATTAGTATTATAGATGTTCTCTGGTTGACTTGAAGCTGTAGTTACAGAAGCAGTGAGGAAAAAGAGGATTTTCATGCGAGACAACCGTCTTAAAATCAGTCTTAAACTGATTATATCCAAAAAAATCATTGCCATAAAACCCACACAATATCTATAAATGCAGACAGCGCCGTGCTTTTGGATGATCATCTGCAGTATCTACCAGCAAACTGTGCTTCCTCAGCGTTCGGATCCATTTCAACCAGCTTGTTGAGGAAATTTACTTTCCAGTCCATAGCTTAGTTTCTGTGTCTGTCTCAGAATTATTTATATGGCAGTTAATATAATCAATTTGCAATAAATACCGTTAAATATGTGATTTAAAGGCATCTTAATCATCAAATCTTACGGATCTTATAATAATCCACTCGTCAAAAAATCATCTGGCAGCTGCTGAAATCTGCTAAGCTAGCTGGAACTTTTAAACTAGAAGGCTAGCTGTCTGATTTTTATTATTCAAAACAATAAACTGAATAACCAAAGTGTTTATCAGTTCATTAAAATGGACACTTGTCATTTACAGACAATAATTTGGGGGGAAAAAATAGCTAGTTTGCGCTAAAGCTAGCCGCAGCTATCTCAATAGCTAGCTTTCACTTGATGTTGCTTTTAGGTTAGCAGACTTTCTACAGCACACAGCACAGTAACGTGCATTAAACTTACAACTTAATACATGAAACTATGTGATTCAAAGATCATTTAAGCACTAAATAGCATAAAAGTCATAACAGGCAAAAAAAAAAAAAAAAGAGATGGCAGCTGCTGAGATCTGTTAAGCTAGCTAGCATTAGCAGACATTTAACTACTTTTGTTTATTCTCCATTGTGAACTGACTGAGCTGCTGCCTTATTTATGTGAATAAAAAACAAAATAACCAAAATGTCAGTTCTTCAAAATGGATGTTTTCTTTTTCAGAAAACCCTTAGGGGAAAATCAATAGCTTGACTTTAGCTTTAGCCAAGACTCGCCATTGCTAGCTCAGTAGCTAGCTTTCACTTGATACATATTTCACAATTAGCTGTCTTTCTATTGCAGAGAGTACAATAAATACACAGATTAATTATAATTTAACACGTTAAATTGTGGCATTTAAAGATTTTTTACCCACTAAATCATTTAAAAGTCACAAGAGACAAAAAATTAGATGGCAGCTACTGAGATCTGCAAAGCTAGCTAGCGTTGGCAGACATTTAGCTACTTTTATTTCTTCTCCATTGTGAACTGATTGAGCTGCTGCCTTATTTATGCGGGAAAAAACTGAATAACCAAAATCTAAATGGATATTTTTTCATTTACAGATGTTAATTAGGGTGAAATTAAGAAGTACATTTAGCTTTGGCTTTAGCATTAGCTCAGTCGCTGGCTTTCACTTGAAATAGCTTTTAGGTTTAGCTAAGTAGTTAGCTGTCTTTCTGTGGCAGGGAGTGCAGTTAATATACCAAATATTTACAAGTTAAAACTTTTTTAAAAATGTGATTTAAGAAAGTTAAACACAAAATCACGTAAAAATCACCAAAGTCAAACACTTTATGGCAGCTAATGGGAACGTCAGTCGCTAACCTGAGCTTTAGGTTCAACTAAGGCTAGCTATGGCTAACTGAGAAGCTAGTTTTCCTTTGGAATAGCCTCTGACTTTAGTTGTGTCGTATGTAGCAGAGGTACACACACCGCTTTTTGTATTTTTAGCGTAGGCAAATGTAAAATGCTAATTTCATGGAAATTGCACATTCCTGTGTCAGGATATTTTTCTACGACACCACGAATGTCAGATACAGATTACGACTCAGTTTTGGTGAAATATGCCAATAAAAATGATCCGTAAACTGGCCAGCAGTGATGGCGACCACATGATTAATGTTGCACTGCTTTTGTGGTGTTTACAGATTAGATTTTAGCTCGTTTCTGTGTCATATTTGAGCTACAAATTCATTCAGATTGTCATGAATATTTAAAACTGCCGTGTTTTCTCCCTCGTGACAAATCTGAACCACTCGCGAGTGAATTTCAAACAAATTCTCTAAAATCGCTTGTTCAGATTATGCAGGTGATTCTTGCTTCAGGCCCATTGTTACGTCTAAACTGGTGTCTGTATGTGCGACCAGTTTCTGTGTGTTTGGATTGAATCCGCCACCAGTGGAGCTCAGTATGATCAAATCTCTCAGCTGTGAATGACTCAAGAAACAATAACCAGCCAGTGTTGAAAGGATTTTTGTCAGTATGTCCGCTAAAGCCGAGTTGTTCCAGCCAGTCTCTGTGTTCATTTCAGACACTGGAAAGCCACCGAAAGTTTTCCAGCAGATTCAAACTCTCCGCCGTCACAACTTGCACACGTCAGCAGTCCGACGCCTCGATCCTGCAGCCCAGCGAGCCGTGCTTAATGACCAGCTCCGTGTTTCTGTTGTATTTATTTTTCTTTATTTTTCCATGAGCCAACTGTGAAAAGGGCTAAAGCACACACTGATGCAGTTCCGTCTGTTAGCTGCGTATTTAAGTTATTTATTTTCTGAGGTATTGCTTCTCACCGAGCTATGCAGTAACAGTAGTAGGATTATTTATTACGACAAGAATCTCATTGTGAGCCGTCGTGTTGTTTTGGGACTGTCGTCGCTCCTCGTTTCGTCCTCCTTCCTCTCCACCCCGGCAGCTCTGCATGCGGCTCATGAATGGAGGCTTTGAGGACAGTTTGCCAAGATGAAGGTTTCACAGAATCCGCAAACCAAGACTGGAAATCCAGAAACGTTTAGATTACAGCTCAGCAGGTGCATTTTAAGTATTGTTTAAAAGTACCGCTCATTTGTTGCAGTGTGCAGACACTCCTGTATGCAACTTCTCTTTTAAACGGAGGTTTTTCATGATTTAAAAAAAGCCAGACTCGTGTTGTCGGTGTTTGCGGTCCACATGCAGACCTTCTGAGCTGCAGCTGTCATGCGATGCCACTTGGGTTTTTGGGGAAATGATCCGGTAAAAATCTTCTCGGCTTCTATGCCTCTGGAGCTCTGACAAGTTGTGTTCATGAATCATGTTCAGAGGGGGAAAATATTAGAAAACCAACAGATGTTTTTACACCCGAGAATTCATTTCACGATCGATTCATGGTGCGGGTCATAAAATGTCCAAAGTGCTGATTATCTGGAGTCCTGTGAGAAAGAAAATCCTCACATCTGGGAAGCTGGAACCAGCACACGTTGAGCATTTTTGCCTGAAGATTGAATTCATTTAATTTCTTCCAGTTACGTACTTGATTAATTGACTAATCCCTGCAGCCCAGCGCCGTCCCTACTATTTAATTTCCAACATTTTGCCTTTCTAAGCCTGTTCAATTGAGCAGAAAGTCAACTTCTGTTTGCTTTCAAGCTGAACTTGACCCCAAATTTCAACTCCTCTATGATTCAGATCTGTTCAGTTTCAGGTTTGAAGCGTTTCAAAACTCGTTCACGCTTCTTATTCCACAACGTCAGAGGCCGTCTGTTCGGGGAAACGAGCCTCTTTACCTCCTCGTCCCTTCACCATGTCATGAACATCACACATGTTCTGCTCTGCAGTCCACTCACCGCTCCTCCTCCTCCTCCTCCTCCTCCTCTTCCTCCTCCTCTTCCTCTTCCTCTTCCTCTTCCTCTTCCTCTTCCTCTTCCTCTTCCTCCTCTTCCTCTTCCTCCTCCTCCTCTTCCTCCTCCTCCTCCTCCTCTCATGTCGCCGTTTGAAGAAGAAGCTTGTAACCGATGAAGTACTACTGTCCCGATCTGAGGCACATCCAGTCATAGCGCAGCATCCTTTAGTCCACCAGTCTTCAGTCTGTCAGTAGGAAAACAGAATAGAGGTTTTAAAAAAAAAACAGAAAAAGAAAAAAGAAAACATACCTTGCTACAACGACTGTATCCGAAAAAGAAAGTAAAATCAGATTAACATATCTTATAATCTGAGTAGGAACTCTTTGGAAACGATTTGTAACTTCTTTCCAGAAATAAATGTTCATATTGGTCGACTTTCAGCTGCCTGCCTCACTTGTTTTCTGTCTGTGTGTGTTCTCTGTCTGTCAGTCAGCTGGTTTATTTAGATTCTTAGTAAATGAACAGATGAAATGTTCTCTCCACAGTTTCATGCAGTCTCACAGACAGGACTCGTGCATGGAGACCAAAGCACAGCAGTGAATATATGATAACATTGTCTGTATGGGGGATTGTTTTTCATTAATTGATCAATTCAGTCTATTAAGTGTAAGAAAATAGTGCAAAAAGACACACTGATATAAAAAAATAGTACTGTTAATCGTTAATATAAAAAAATATAATATTCTTGCATAATCACATGGAGCTGTCTCATCCTCGATTTTTTCATGAGTCAGATTAATTTATACAATAAATAATATTTAAGGGTTTTGTGCTTCATATTTGATTTGATCAGGTAAATATATATTTTATATAATATTTTAGGATCTTACCTCAGTGTTTAAATTACCCAGGTACATTTGAATACATGATAATATTGGAGGGTCTAAAATATTTAAACCCACTGAATAAATGTATATACCAAACTGCACTGTAGTCTTAACCCTAATAGTTAGGCTAATTTGTATTTTATATAATATTGCACGCTGTAACGTTTCTATTGAACTTCGTCAGGTAAATTAAAATTTTATTTTAGGGCAACACTTTGATATTTAAATTATGTAAATTTGAGTAATTCTTTATTATTGTAGGGTCTCAACCTTAATATTAAACATTATTGTAATTTTGCTGTCTGTTAAAACATTTTTAAAATCAACGGAGTCATGTTTAAATAAAGTTATTATTATTGTATTTAGACACATTTAGACATATGAACCCATATGTGTGTACAGTCGTCCTCAGATATGTTCATACCCTCCCATTACAGAAGGAAACAAACAGCTGTCATTGAAATAAGCTGAAATTGACAAAAGTAATAATAAATAAAAATGTAATGAACATCATGACGCTGCTTTTGAATTGTGGTTCAACAGAAATATTAAAAAAAACACACAAGCAAAAAAAATAAGCATGATGGGACCCGTAAACTAATATTTAGTTGAACAACCCTTTGAGCCAATCACTGCCATCAGATGTTTTCTGTAACTCTGTCAGACTTGTGCACCTGTTGACAGGTGTTCTGGTCCACTGCTCATCAGCAAAGTGCTCTCATTGGTCCGGGACAGTTTTGTTTGGGTTTTTTAAAATTATTCTTTTCAACCACAATTCAAAAGCAACGTCTTATTTCACTAAATTATAATTTATTAAATTTTTATTTATTATTACTTTTTTCAGTTTCTAGTTATTTAAGTGACTATTGTGAATTTTGCCTTTTCTTTAATGGAAGGGGATGAACACGTGAGGACGACTGTACTTGAGTGCAATGCGCATGCGCCCCACTCCCTGCCTGTCCTCCGGCTTGCCATAGAAAAGCGAAAGTCATCTGAACCGGACGAATATGTCATATGTGAAACTGGTAACTATCCTCAACCATATTCACCTTTTGTGACCTTAAATATTATAATGTTCATAGACAGCGGCTGCTTTTTAGTGAAACACGCGCTCATAGTTGTTCACAATTAAAACCGACAACGAAGAGTTCTTTAACTGTTGCTGAATGAGTCAACCGCTAACGTTAGCATGTTGCTAGCGGCTGTCGCTAACAGCTCCGTGTAGCAGCAGGCCGCCATTATTGAGGCAAACGTTAAAAGTCTTGTTATTGCCGTGAAATAGCGTAAAAACAATAGTGGCAGATTTGTGTAACTGACGTTGTAGGGTCTTTTAAAGCCTTCCTCTATCTCTAACCGGGCTGTGTGTTCTGCCGCTCCGCCTCCAGGTGTCGCTGTGTGCCGTGGCTCCGGGGCTGGCGGGCCTGCTGAGCGGCTCGGTGCTGGCCGCCGCCGCCGCCGCCGCCGCCTCCACGGAGGGGAAGAAGAGGAACACCCAGCCGGCCCTGAGCATCGATGAGGTGGGTTAATGAGTGACTGACACGGGGAGGACGGGGTCAACGTGCGTTACCGTCACCGACAAGCTTCACCTCTGTTTTGTTTTTGTCCTCTGACAGTCTGTTTACATGGACGCGTGCTGTTTGGGTCACATTTAGGAGATAAATATTAAGTATTACTGAGCAGCATGGGAAACAAACAAGAATAGATTTAATTAACCACAAACAGGCTGAGAAAAAAAATACAAAACGACCAGAGACAGATAGAATGAAAGGATAACAAAAATATGTTTAACAACCACAAAGAGACATAAAATGACCACAAGGAGATGCAAAATGGCCACAAAGAGACATGAAACTATCATAAAAAGACACA